ATAATTAGTATTCCCTAAACGGTTGCAGATTTAATTAATGTGCCTAATGATTGGGTTTGGTAGCACACCAGTACATTTCTTCCAGGGTCAGACTCGGTCAGATCAACACCTAATTAAAAAAAATTGGTTTGAACTTTCTTTTGAGGCAAAGATGTACTTACTAATTTATGGGAGTACTCCATTTATCTGGAAATAATTATTCAGATTAAAATTTTATTTTTATGTTGGGATGAGAAAAGTATCTATCAGGAGTCACATATGGTTGCTAATAATAAAAAAACCTTAGTAGAATGATTTTTTTTTTCATTATAACTGTTAATGACGGAACTAAGGGGGGTCGGAGGGTTGATCGACACCCGACCAATAGATTTTTTCTTAATAGAGTGTTTGATGACTAAAAATTTTTCAGTTCAACCTCTCAGTAATGGTTGAATATTTCTATTTTTGACCTAATGATTTGAAAGTTCTCATTTCTCACTGCACCAAAATGGTGATTTTCCCTTTTAATAAATTCAAGTAATATCTAATTCATATGAAGAAACAAATAATTTAACTATAACACTGTGTCACGCTTCAATTAAATCATTAGAGTTTTATTTGGTAAAGTTGAAAGAGGAGAGGTTCTGAGTTCGAAACTTCACCGGCGCATAATAGAGTTGTTTTGCTTTCTTTTATTTTTCGTGTCCATAAAGTTTTTGTTTCTCGAAGTTTTTAGTCTCGTTGATTTTAGATTCTGTTAACGTTAGAATTACGCCGTGATTGAGAATTAACAGCTATAATATGTACTATGTACTAGAGTTCAATCTTATCATTTAAGCTTATAATACTTCTCCTTCCTCATTTATTCTTTTCTCTCTGAAATATCTTGTTCCCTTATTCTTCCCAATTTCTTCTTTTACACACTGAAATTGAAAAAATCAGTCGATTTACGCAAAGATTGACATGTGTTGTCAATTCTACCTCATTTTTTTCGATTAACCAATATTACTTTAAGCTATCCAACTCTTAGCCTATTTAGTCGAATTTGCCAATTTCCGTTTAAATTGACGGAATTCTGTTAGTTTTAATTATAAAAATACCCTAATAGTTTTAGAAATTATAAAAATAACCAAAAATTTGTAAAAATAACAAAATAGTCTTTTTTAGTTTTATTTTAATTTTTTTTGTTTTTTTTATTTCTTTTTACTATTTTTCGTAACTATACAAATATATTATATGATCTTTTAAAAAAAATATTTATTTTTTAACTCAAATGTAAAAATTTATAATTACATATTTGTAAGTCATGTTTGATTTACATAAACATATTATTTTTTAATAATATGGTTTAACAGTAATGCCACTATTTTTTTAATCCATTTTCTTCAATCTAAAAAATAAGATTATTTAACTAAAACTAATTTTGCACAAAAAAATAAAAAATTTAGCATAGATTAAAAATTCTTTATTGGTATACATTAATGTATTAAAATTTAATTCAACAGAATTTAGATTGTATTTTAAAATTAAAAAATAATTAAACTAAAATATAAATTTTCTTAAAAGGCCAAGTACGAACAGAAATTAAAAAAGAATGGTACAAAATTTTTTATAAAAAATATGTATATTTATCATTGTGAGGGTTTAACATTTCATGATAATTGTTTTGAGTTATTAACATATCTAACTTTACCAAGAAGTTTTTAATACAAAAAAAACAAAGAAAATCTACTCCAGTATTGGACTCCATTTTTTAAAAAAAAGAAAAAAAAAGATAGGCCCCAGTGAGAATCGAGGCCTCGAACAAAATATAATCATCTCCCATCTTAAATCAACTAACTATCCAACTCAACCCTCTCACTTTTAGTAGACCATACTTAAATACAGATAAAATCACTCTCCTGGTTACAAATTCTTTGGTGAGAATTAATCTTATATCTACTCTCATGAAGCTCAACACCTTAAACACTAGATTGTACCTTATATTTTAATTTAATTATTTTTAGAATAGGATAATACAATCTTTAGTCTGTTTAGTTAATTTGTAATAGATTAAAATGTACTAATATATTATTTTTTCATCCATGCTAAATGTTTTAATTTTTTGTAAAAAATTAGTTTTTAGTCAAAAAATATTATTCTTTAAATTGAAAAAAAGGATTAAAAAAATATCATTATTTTTTAAGTTATATTATTAAAAAAAATTAATATGTTTATGTAAATCAACCATAAGTTTCAAATATGCATATCTATAAATTTGTACAGTAATGTTTAAAAATAAATAGTTTCTTTTGAAATATCATATAATATCTTTTATACTTATGAGAAATAGCAAAAAGAAATAAAAAACAGAAAAAAATTTAATAAAAAGTGAAAAAGACTGTTTGAATATTTTTACAATTTTTTGAGGTTATTTTTATAATTTTCAAAACTATTATGGTATTTTTATAATTAAAACCAACAGAACTCTGTTAATTTAAACGGAAATTGGCAAATTGTACAAAATCGGTTAACGGTTAGATAGTTTAGGGTAATATTGGCTAACCTAAAAAGAAAATAATAGAATTGACAACACATGTCAACCTTTGAGTAAATCGGCCAATTATTACCAGTGAAATCTGTTGATTTTTTCAATTTTATGTCCATTTCGTTACACACTGGCAAATTTCATCAAATGAGGCATGAGAATTCCCGGTTCAAAGCCCCGGCAATGGAAATTTTCTTACTTCAGCGGAAAGGGTTTTAGTTCACTCACTTTCAGAGCCTTCTTTGAATAAAATGGCCTTAAAATTAAAATGTATCCGATGATTTAACTTGCACTGTGATTTAGCTAGGAATCTAATGTATCGAAATTAGATCGAGCACCAAGCAAGATAAAATCCCGAGTGTGAATCATTATGGACGAATCAATGCCTCGGAGTTTTTGTCATATACATTTTGTATGATAATTGGGACGGAATTGTTCCAAACTCTAAATGCTTGCCAAAGGGTTTTGGGGGAGTTGCTAATTATAAATTGAGTCACAAAAGTAATACTCTCTCCTTCCCGATATTATTGTCCAGTTTAAATTTATATTTTTAGTTCAAATTATACTGCTAGATAATAATTTTAGAATATGAGAAATTTATTATTTTATCAATTTTAATTTTGTGACATAATTATCATTTTAATTAGCAAAAACAACCGTCAACAATAACCTTACTCTTCTTATAATAAAACCATGATTAAAATATGTTCCATCGTTTTTTTCTACTCACAAAAGGTGTTAATTAAAAGAAGATAACGTTGACATTGTAGTTTCATTTTTATATTCCAGACCCGGACGATAAATAGACAGGCGCCAGCCCATCAAAGTTCAAAAGTACATGGAAAACCGTTTACTTTGACGACAGAGAGAACGAAGCTTCCAAGGTTCCAACCCACCAAAACCCCAAAGTTAGCTTAAACTGGCACGTTATCAATGCGTTTCCCGTTTGTTTCCATTTCCCACCAAAAACCAACCCCTGAAAACAAGCTGCATCGTTCATCTTCCGCGTTTGGTATCCCTCACAGATCTACCACTTCTCCGCGTTTGTTTTCCCTATTCACAGCTCATGATAACCAAACATGGTCCTAGGTCTAGGCCATCTTAATCCCAATTTCTTAGTAGTAATCTATCCACTGGTTTTCTTTCCCCGGTTTGTTTGTAACTAACCAATTCATCCACGAAATGCACACGTCAAATCCTTCCAAGCACCCATCTTCCATCACCAGAACAATAAATTGCTCCCGCTTCTCCAGGGTCTAGTTAATTACCTGATCATCTCATCTGGCCGAGAAACACACAAGAACATCCCACAAAGGAAAAAACGCATATTCTTCCCAAAACAGAGTATTGGGTTCTCCGTTCCTAAGTTTTGATAAGAGGATTATTGAAGAGGGTTCGAGAGAGCTTCCATAAATTTCTGGTTGGTTTTTTGGGTTCTGGGTTTTCGTAAAGAACCAATTTTTTTTTTGGTGGATGGGTCAATGTGTTTCTACAAGCCACTGTTATCAGCACGAGAGGATTGGTAGCAGGAAACGGATTGAAGTTCATGATCGTCGTACTCTTGCAAAAAGCAAGCCATCTGCGGCAACAACAGTATCAGGAGGGCGTGGATTGGGATCTTCGTCCTGTTTTGCCATCATCAAAGAGCAACGATCCAGATTTTATATCATCCGAAGATGCATAATTATGCTCATCTTTTGGCACAGATATAGCAAGATTTGATTCTGATTGGTCCTAAGAAAATGTATGTAAATACTTCTGGACGCATACTAATTATTGTAACTAAACTGTGAATTCTTTTATGTACAGCAAGTTTAACCACATAAGCAATATCTTGTGTATGGTCTCTTTCTTCTCTTTTTTCTCCCCTTCACTGGTGTGGTCATAAATTATTTTAATGTACCTCTTCAATTTGTCCGCCTAATTGGAAGTTTATGCAGTCCAATAGGTAATTTGAGGATTCTGTGAAATTCTGTAAAGTTTAAAAACAGTATAAAGAAAGCCTAGCTGCAAATGGGCTACATAGAATTCAACGGAATCTGCGAAAGCAAAACCAGTCATATTGAGCGGATTCCAGCTTATTCAAAACATAAGACGACACAAGTGAATGAAATAACCAATATTTTATAGATTGAATCTGGCTCGACCGGCTAATGTTAAATTTGTCAAAATCAATCAAACATCATTACAGTTCCGTTTGCGGTTTCTCAAATGAATCTCAAACAAACGCCAAAGTGCAGCAGTTAATTGGAGTATTATATTGAAAGAATCTACAGATTTGGGAAGCCAAAAACCTACAGAAAAGAATGTAGTGGCAGAGGATTCTGAATACTTCCGAAATAACCTTTGATGTTTACAATGCTTAATGTTAATTGCCTTCATTTTTATATATAGTTCAAGGCCACCATTCAGGCCAGAAATTTTCAACCTTTCCCAATTTTCGAACCCACCCATCATTCTGTATCCACCTCTGTTTTCTTTCTTTTGAAATTAAATGTCGCTGGATAATTTCACAGATTTGCCTTCTGGATTGAAACCAGAGGATCCTTTCCCGGAATGGCTAAACAGTGCAGACAATGCATGGGAGCTAACAGCAGCAGCCATGGTTGGGCTACAAAGTGTTCCGGGTCTAGTTATACTCTACGGCAGTATGGTTAAGAAGAAATGGGCTGTGAATTCTGCTTTCATGGCCCTTTACGCCTTTGCTGCGGTTTTGATTTGTTGGGTCCTTTGGGGGCATCGTATGGCTTTTGGGGATGATCTGGGAGGGATTTTAGGCAGGCCTCATCAGGCCTTAACCGATGGATATTTGTTAGATCAGTATAAAGAAGAGTATTTCTTGCCCAATGCTGATTATGTTTTCTACCAGTTTGCTTTTGCTGCCATTACTTTGATCCTGCTGGCGGGTTCATTGCTTGGCAGGATGAATTTTTATGCCTGGATTTTGTTCGTTCCACTATGGTTAACTTTCTCTTATACTGTTGGAGCTCACACCATTTGGGGCTCTGGCTTTCTTGATAAGCCTGGAATTCTTGGTAAGCGAGGGATTATTGACTTCTCTGGTGGCTATGTTATTCACTTGTCTTCTGGTGTAGCTGGTTTTACCGCGGCTTATTGGGTAATCTTACTCTTGAACAACAACATAGATTCTGTGACACTTTTGTAAGTATCCTGATTCAGATCATTTGGTTATCATTGCTAGGTAGGGCCGAGGAATGAGAATGATCGGCACCATTTCCCACCCAACAACATCATTACTGTATTAGGAGGTGCTGGATTTTTGTGGATGGGATGGAGCGGTTTCAATGGCGGATCGCCAATGGCTGCAGGTCTCATTGCATCACTAGCTATCCTTAATACCCATCTCTGCACTGCTACCAGTGTCCTGGTATGGCTCTCCATGGACATGATTTACTACAAGAAAAGCTCTGTGATTGGAGCTGTTCAGGGAATGATGACCGGGCTTGTTTGCATCACCCCTGCAGCAGGTTTGATTTATAAGACAATCGAAACTTTTCAATCTCTAAACATCAGCATTGGCATGAGAAATGCCTGAGCTTAAAACCATGTTTTGAGTTAATATTTGATTTTGGCAGGAATTGTTGATACATGGGCTGCCATGCTAATGGGGGCACTGTCTGGCTCAATTCCATGGTATACCATGATGGTTTTGCACAAGAAATCGGCTTTTTTCCAGAAGGTGGATGATACATTAGGTGTTTTCCATAGTCACGCGGTGGCTGGTGCCTTGGGAGGACTTTGCTCGGGAATCTTTGGAAAGCCAGATCTTCTTAAAGATTTCTATGGCGTTGACAGTGGTATCAGTTATGGTCCTGGATTACTGTATGGCGTGATTGAAGGGCAGAAGTTGGAAGGTCTCTACCAAGTAGTGTATCAGCTAGGAGGGGCAGCGTTTATTACTCTCTGGAATGTTGTTGTCACGAGCTTAATCTGCATTCTGATAAATGTCATGGTGAATCTTCGGATGGATGAAGAAGATCTTGAAATAGGCGACGATGCAGTTCATGGAGAGGAAGCATATGCTTTGTGGGGGGATGGGGAGAGGGATCCTCCCCCTCTTCGGTTTCACATGACCCCCAAAATTCCCGCCTTCTGTCGACGCCGCTAATCAATCAGGACTCAAAACACTTGGTCTTAGATTCCAATTAGGTAGTAAGCAGAGCACCACACCCAAAGAAATATAATTTGCACAATATTCCCATGTAAGAGCTCACTTCTTTTGGCACACAAAGTTGATCGAGATGTTTATACTGGTAAAACTAGTTGTAAATTACTGTACCACACAATTTATTCACAGTGGAAATAAGTTGAGCGAACTGCTATAGACAGTATATAAGAGCCAAAGAATTTGTATTTTCACATATGAAGATATTTACAGAGCATTCATCAGAAGATCAATACAACAAGGGGCACCCCATTTCCCATTTGGATGTTTATGCACAAGATACTAAATTATGTAAACTACAAGTCCTCCCGAGCCAAGATTGATCATACAACTTTTAGGGGAATGACACAGAATCACATCCGTATGACACTCCAACTCACTATGCAGTATGTCCTACCTAGATGCTGCTTGATGAACTTCACGCTTGTAAATATCTTCAACCATGATCACGGACCAGAACATTCTAGGCCATAATACAAGATAACTTACATCTTTCTGTACAAGCATTATTATCTGTCAATGACAACAGGAAAACAACTAATGTTAGCTACTGCCCAGTGTGACCTTTGTTTGAGATAATAAATTCAATTTCAACAAAAAGCATGTGACGAAGTTGTGGAATTTGTACCAGAAGGAAAGGACCTAAAGCCTCTAACTTGTTTCACGAAGCTTCTTAAGTTTGTCTCTCCACACAGCTTTGACAACAAGAATATCAGAGAGCATTAGCAGCTTTCAGAATATAATGTGCAATGAAAAAAATTAAGGAATCAATCCTATACATCTAACGAGAACAGTGAAGTAGCTCTGGTTCATAGAGTACCTGCATCTCTGTACCTTTCCTCCTCGGCAGCCGAATTCATATTCCTGACCATATTAAGTTCTTCAGAAAGTAAATCTGGACCATCTGCAGCACTGCAGCCAAGAAGATTCAATGGTTTCAGCAGCTATGCCAAAAAACTGAAAAGTATGTCGCTAATAATAACACAAGGGTTAACTACCTGTCAAGAGAGACATCATACACAGTTTTGTTGCTCATTCTTCCCAGCCCATATGAAATTCTTGTTGCATCTGCCAACACGATCTGTTTATTTACATAGATAGGAGCCTGCATTTTGTTTTCTCTGAAAGTCAACCCCAAGTAACATTCAAAATAAACCCATTTACATTGTCAATAATATACCTTGCATCTCTTGGCAACATTTATAGAATCAGAAGGACGTGCATCTACACTAAAGCTGATCTTGTCCCCTGGCTACATATGTTCATAACAATCATCAGATTACTTAAAATGCATAATCGATAAAATCATCATTATTACTTTTACAGAAATATGCCAAAGAAATTGCTTCGTACCTTCTGAAAATATATCCTCGATACATATGTATTCAAGACTCTTTCAGTAATCCTAACCATTTTGACCTGAAACCAAATCATTAAGAAACATATCATGATGCTAAAATAAGCGCTAGCTTGATCAGGTTTTAGATTTTTTATTTTTTTTTTCCATTTATACATGACAAGGAAGGGACAGTGATAACTATGAAAACTAGTACTACAGTGGGATGATAATCCCACCTGCTCCTAGACTGAAGTCAGCATTGGAAATATTGGGTCAAGAATACTATTCGCTAAAATGAACCCTGAACCCTGAAGAGTAAGGCATGGTAATTAAAACTATCATATATAAAAGTATGGTTACATTTTCAACTATGTTGTTTTTTTGGTCCTGGTAGGGGGCTTGAAGAATGATAGAATATTGTGGTCAGCTAACAGCAGCAACACCCATTCAGAAAGGCAATTTCTTTGCAACATCTGACTACAGTTTGATTAGCCTTTACATGATTTTTACAGCAATCAAATGATATAATGGTCAAACAAATACCCTATACCATGAATAAGAGTGATTAAAATAGTTGCAACCACGAAAGCAAAAGAAACCGGCATCAGCAATATAATTGTTAAATAATAGATGCAAGGTTGCTTACTCACTTCATAACCAAATTCCTCAAGTAGATTCCTCACGAATTGGAATTGGTTTGGGCAGTCCTGCAGGAGGTAATTGATAAGTAGAAGCAAAAGCAGACAATAAAAATGTTCTTCAAGAGTTTGCAAGTTTACCCCAGTATCATCCTCATGATAGGAATCTATAAGCTTCTCAATTGCACTTTCACCTAATGCAGAACAAAACACAAGATTAAAAGTCACTCTCACTCCTACAATCATATTGCAACATGAAAACCCAAAAAATTATAATGAAGTATGCAAAATTAAGAAAATTTACCTACAATGATCGGTAACACGAAATCTCCATCACAAGAAATCTTAAGAAACATGGTAGGATTCTGAAAGCGCCGAAGGAAACCAGAACCTATAGAATGAACTTGAGATCGAGGATCTGTTGTTTGAAAAGAGAAGGGCCCCAAGGGAAGAGAATATGTTGATTGCCATTTGGTCTCCTCTTTAAAACCACGCACACGCATTCGATGGTGACTGATAATTTCTGCATGAAATGCACAGAGAAACAGATGTTTAACATTTTCATTGGTGCAGGAGGCTTAAATAGTACTACGCATTCAACTTGCGAAAATGCATCTCCAAAGAGAAATGACATTAGAAGGCAAAACAGTAAGTACACTTGGTTGCTATGCAACAACATGAAAACTGCAGTAAGGAGATTATGTTATGATAATAAGCTCTAAAATTTTGTACTCTTTCGTCGAGCTTTCTCCAGTTTTTCTATTCACAGAAATTATCAATAAACTGAATCCTTTTTTCGCACAACAATGCCAAATCGCTCACAAAGAAGCCCAAATCTCCTCAAATAATGGATGATTGTAAATTTAGGAGACCAAAACCTTCTTGCCATTAACAAATTCTATTAGTATCAACAGGAATAGATTCCATTTAAAATTTGCAAGGATCCGCATTTATTAAAGTCTTCACCTTTGCATAAAAGAAATTGCATTATTTTCACTTAAAAAATATACAGTACTACTACCAAATAGTAACTCAATATAATTGATCATCAGCTTCCCAAGTCTACCCAAACACGAGAAGGAACTTGTGATGTATTTTGAGAGAAGGAAAAGGTCAAACCTGCAACGAGAAGGACGGCTTCAACGTAATCATACTGGTCATCTTCATAGCTCTCGTCAGCACTATCACCGGATTCACGACTAAATCTCCCAAAAGAAGAAGACTTGCACGAAATCGACTTGAATCTTCCACTATCACTCCCGCACACGCACCGGCATTTCCGAGATTTTGAGAAATCAAGACACAAAAATTGAATCCTGGAGGAATAACAATGCGAGCTGGAAACCATGCGGCAGCAATTCGTTTGATCCGCCGAACAAGGTCCCGACCCGGAAATCACCCGGAAATTCAATTGGGTCCCAATCATAGTCTGTGATTTACTACTCAAACAGCAGTGAAGAAAGAAATCTGGATAATACGGCGACCTAAAAGTGGAGAATTGTTTCAGTTTTGGCCGGAAAGAGTGGATATTGTGGGTGGGATGGTTTGGTGGGTTATAAGAATAGTATTTGAAGAAATTCCCGATTGAGAAAAGATATTATGTTGGCCGAGCTTTACTGAAAGAGCAAAGAATGGATAATGTGATGAATATTTATTTTGCCAATGTTCTCAAACTTCGAAGTGTACGATGTTTTCGGTGAAAGCCTTTGTTTGTTTTGTGTTTGATGTAAATGTTTACTTTCCTTTCTTCCTTCTTATGAATATAATCTGCGCGCAAATAAAGAAAAGAGTGCCTTTATTTTTCTTATTTCTTTTTTTTTTCTTTTCCAATTTGATTAATTTTTGGCTTCATTCTGAATTATACTTATAAATAAATATTTTATGAAAGTAGTGTGTACCAACCAAATTGCCCCTTATTCATCTTATTTTATAAAAGCCCCTTATTCATTGATGATTCAGCAGTCCGTTTCCGCGGTGATCGTCTTCTGGGATGGAGAAAATGGCAATTACAGCATCAGATGAATGATTGTTGGAGCCAAGAAGATAGTGAAAGCTGCCGAATCTGACCCCGAATTAGTTTGCTCCGACAATAGCCAAGGTCTTTTGGCTTTAGAGACGAGAAAAATTATTGGATACAGTGGCTGTATCCAATTTTTAGTACAGCAAGTACTAGCATCCCATATTTTGGTGGTATAACTCTCCTAAAAATTATTTTTCTTCTTTTAAAATTATTATTTTATCCTATTATTATGTCTGACATTATCATTCTACGTGATATAACAGCTACATTGATAATTTCTCAGAGAAGAGGAGATGACGTGGAAAATATCCCAGATAGACAAAAGGGGAGTATGAAAACACAACTTGCGCTGAATTCGTCAGCATAGACAAGTGAGATTTAGATAACGTATTAAAAAGGTCCAAAAAATTAAAATAAAAATGTCCAAATTGTTGTCTAAAAAATTAAAATAAAAAAAAAATCCCCAAAACGTCATGCCAATCACATTTGCCATTTCCCCTTTTAGATTTTGGTTTTTCCAAATCCAATACAATGAGTTAAACGACCCACAGTTACAGAAAAAGAGAAAAGTGAAAACAAGAGGCACGTGGAGGGAAGGGGTTGGCGGCAACCCACCTCCCTCCCGCCAACAAGATAAGTGGGAATCCCACACAACTCATGACCAAGTCATCACTCCTCTAAAACTGTTGAAGATATTGTTTACATACATTATCATATTATCCCTCTTGGTTTTTAATATAAGATATTTTAATTTATCTTAAGTTTAACATAATCCGCATTTTAATAGATAAAAAAATTTTAAAAATATTTCATAATAATCAAGAAAACATGACAAATGTAAAAATATATTTTTAAGTTTTTTCATCAATTAAAAATATGTATTAAGTGAAACTTAGGAAAAGTCAAAATGCCTTATAATAAGAACAGGAGGGAGAACTAGTATGCTAATCTACATGATCATTACCAAGTTACAAAAAAGAAAGTTTTTCTTTTTACTTAATTTGGGGAACATCATGTTGATATTTACACAATCAGGAGTTCTATTTCTGAGAAAACTTTTCTTTTGCTAGGTATCATATCAAAATTGTGACGAAGTAGACTGTTTTTTAACTCTTTTGTTTATCCACCAGATGGGTTTTTTGGAAGCTGCTTCAATAGTTTGATTAGCTCGTAAGTCCTTGTATCTCTACCAAAATGAAGGCAAAGTTCAAGAGGGGTTAAACCATCCTGCAACAAAAATGTGAAAGTAATCCAAGCGTCAGTGTTCCGTTTTGCTGTGTAAATGTAAATCTTCCCTTCACATTTTGGACCCTAAGTAAGACGCAAATCTTTTTTCTAATGCAGCAACAATTCTGTGATATTGGAATTCATGAAATGGTACCTTGTTCCTTAAGCTCTTGTCAGCACCTTTGATTAACAAAAGCCGCACGATGTCGGTTCTGCGAGATTGAACAGCTAAGTGTAGTGGTGTCCAGCCATCCTGAGAAAGGGACGGGAAACATCAAGCTGAAATCGTCGAGCAAAAAAAAACATAGGAGTAACACTGAAGTCAATAATGAGGCATACATCATCCTGGAGATTTATGTCAACGTTATACAGGAGAAGGATCTTTATCATCTGACTCGATGCTGTTCGAACAGCATAATGGATCAATGTAGCCCCTTCCTGTTGTCAATAACCGAGAAATTTGAGCTTCAGAAGATTATGAACAGAATATACACTATCTGATGTACAAGCTAAAGAGTTGACAGCCCATGGTGTCGTTCATTGCTCACAATATCACATTAAAGCCTCGGAACATAACTGTTGACACCAATCCTTTCTCACTCTCTCGCTTCAACAAGCCCGTAAAAACCAAAGACAAAGAAAGGAGAACATCTCTAAAATACTAGAAGTTTCATTTGGAAGAAATCAAAGTAGCTTACTTTGTCACGCACAAATGGATTTATGGACTCCCTCAAGAGATAGTTGAAAATAGCCTGCTTCTTGCCAAGTATCGCTCTGTGAATTGCAGTCAACCCATCCTTTGAAGGCAAAGCACAAGGCATTCAAACACGATACATGAAAAAGCTTATGGAAACAAGCCACCAGTTACAGATTTCTAGAGGTGAACTGGAGGGTTGGGATGCAGAATACCTTGTCAGCAACATTTATGTCCACATTGTGCTTCAACAGAGCATTGACGAGATAAAATTCTCCAGATGCAACCAGAGTATGTAAAGGTTGCCATTTTCCCTGTCAGAATGTAGTAGCACATCATGCTTTTGCAAAAATAAAAACCAATAACAAAAAACAAGTACAACATCAACAGTAATGTAATAAATGGAAGCACGTAAAAATCATAGTCACAATGAGTTTACTTCCTAGTGATACAACAATAGGCAACCATTTTTGTTTCATCCTGGCAAATAAAAGCTCCCAATGAGGGAGCAAAGGAAAATGTTCCAGATATTAAGTCTTAATGTTGGCAACCTCATATCCATAAAAACAATGGGGAAACTGAATCTCCAGTTAATCACAATTTTGATTGTCAGCAGATTAGCTAAGTTGCAAACTGAAAAAATTTGCGAATCCACACAGCAATGGAATTTGGAGGTAAGTACACAAATGACTTACAGAGGTAGCAGTTGCCACGTCAGGAATCCGCTTATTCAACAAAAGCTTTTCTTCCTTGCTAAATAACTTACGAGGACCTATACAAAGTAACAAAAATTTTTATAGCGTGTCATATCACTAGTACAGGTCATTACCATACATCCACAATAGTACTCAGATATACAGTTGAAGCATAATGGAACAGAAAAGAAACAGATCGTAACCTTTCAATTTGCCAACCATGAGAATCAGACATCACTGAACTAGCAATTATTCACTCCATGAAACTTAAATTTGTTATCAAGTTTCAAGTTTTAACGAGAAAGGTAGAATTGCTAACCCTGAGGAACTCTTAAAAATCCTAGGATATTCCAGTGCAGCATCATTACACAAAGTACATGCTATAGTTCGACTAAAAGAGCATACGATTTTTGTCAAAGCTCCAGTTTTCACCAAGGGATGACAATGCTCATTCAAGTGGTCTTCCAACATGAGCAGATTCATGTCAGACAGTCAAGTGTCCCAAGAAATCAGAATACCACTAATCATTGATAATGCAAATTCGTATCATGCTAACAATAAGAAGTAATCATAGCGAAAATGTCACTATTTGACCATCATACCATGAACCAACAATGAAATTTTCAATAAAACTCTATTAGCTCGAGAACAAGAAATACCTTCAGTAGTTTTAGCAGCATTTGGATCGTAATTGCCACTATTGAAGAACTCCGAGATATCCTCTAATCCTCCACCGTAAACCGCTAACCTAGGATTTCTTGGTTTCACCCTAGCACTGGAACTGCTCCCACCAGAGCTCCCCTGCACATTTCCTGCCACATCCTTATCACTCTCCTCAGCTTTTCCAACCTCGACAAATTCTGGTTTGTCCAGCACAATGGGTTTCAACTGCTTCAGTCTCTCATCCCTATACTTCACAAAATCCACCGCATTCACACTTCCTATGGGCCGTAAACTCGCCCTCCTCTTCTCCACAGTCCGCCCGAATTCCAACTCGTGAGCAAGTTTACGCCTATCTTTCTTAGTAATATTAATTGCCCTCTGCACCTCCACCCATTTTTCAGGAATCAAATTCTCAGGCACCACTTCAGCTGAAACATTTCTCCGGCTAGGATGGTTGTTCTTCTGGGGTTTTAGAGGTTCATTTTGGAGGGAAGGGTCGTCAAAAATACCATCCTCGAAAACAAGGCAATCCCCAATGATGGTCTCATCATGGTAATCCTTTCCGTCAACGGTGCCGCTTTGGACAGAATGAGGTAAGGATAAGAGAGTGGAAGAGGCCCTTTTGGTAAGTGTCGGGATTTGAACGAAATTTTTCTGGGTTGGTTGGTAAAGCTTGTGGGAGTTACAGAGGAAAAGCGGTGGGGAAGTAGAATTTGGGAAGACGAGTGTGGGCTGTGGAGACATGGATGCCACTTGGAGAGCACCGGAAAATTAAACAGGGGGCAGGCGGTGACTACTTGCTTTGCCGATATATGAACTTATTTGTTTGATAACAAGACTTTTGATAACTTTACCCGATATCTCAGTTTGGATGAAATCTTTCTTTTTTAATATATACACCAGAATAAAATCTTGCGTTTTTCTTTTTCTTTGTTTTTTTTTTTTAAAAAAAAAAGAAATTAATCTTGGTAAGTGAAACCTAAACGAGCCCAAGTTGGTTCTGCAATTCTAATGAGGCAAATTTCATCAAAATATTCTCTCCTCTTAGTCATCACAACAACCCAGAGGGATCGCGGGTTCATAATTCTACTCAGCCATTTACCACATGTGAACCAAAGACCAAACACATAGTAAGCCATTAAAGTATTGGTAACAACCGCAGAAATATACAGCAATCCCACATCCAAATGCACTAGTATAAAATGTCTCAAGAGACTCACAAACAGCATTACTTCATTAGGAGCCTCAAAACAAATGTGCATAATCTCAACCTTACAAGTTACACACACCAAGCCTTCTCATTTCATCCAAGTCCAACACTACCAAGGTAGTGAATCACATTCCTGTCCAGACCATGCTCCACCTCTGTAAACTAGTTTCACCTAGAGCCTCGATATGGAGAATAGGACCTGGACCGATCCCTCCTTGACCTTCCACCATATGGCGACCGCCTAGGAGAGTAATCACGCCCACTTCCCCGATAAGGGGAGCGCCTAGGGGACCTTCGGTACCCATAGTCGTCATAGCCTGAACCTCCACGGTATCTTCCACGATCTCCACGATCACCACGATAACCTTCATCAAAGCAAATTAGGATGTCAAAGATTTCAACAAATCTAACGCATATTTACTTTTACAATTCCATGTCAGAGATTCCAACAAACATAGAAATAAGCAGACAAGACAAGGACGCGCGCACACAAAAAGACAATTCTTCACCTTCGCCCCTGCTGCTTTTCAGCCCAAGATAGTGACCAGGTGTTGGAGTCCTTGCGCGTTTCCTCCTAGACTGAAAAAAAGAACAAACAAGCTCAATCGACCAAAACTAAGCATAAAAACAGACAGAATATGTGCATCACTATACTCAAAAAGCTCCTACAATAGTCTACCAAGAGAAAAAGACAAGTCATAACCAAACTTCGGAGTAAAATCTGGTGATGATATCTGTGACAATCTACACTTCTTAGGGCTTCCTAAGTGGCGAAAAAGAAAACTGCAGTGTATAACATCAATGCCAGGTATTGGATACCATAAAAGCCTGATTAGATTGTTGGAAATCCCTGTTGATTAGTTGAGAGTTGAGGAGAGTTGAAAGTATTTGCTGGTGTTGTATGGTTGTTGTGGGAATAAAGTTGCATTGTTAAGATGAAAGTAATTGCATTTGCATTGTCCATTGTTAAGCTGGCCAATCATCAAGCTGTTTGACTAAATTGTTGCAATGGATGAACTCATCATCTTTGATTGCTGCCAACACAGCTGAAGCAATATCTTCTGAATATAACCAGAAAACCTCCAAGTCAAGAAGACTGATAAAACATTTAGATTTACCATTCCTCGCCACAAATCCAGCGTAGTTAACTTACCTTCTCCACAGTTATGTATCGCCCTTCAAGAACAGACTGATTCAGACGTTTGATGCAGCGGTTAGCATCCTCTGGGGTGTCCATTGTTATAAATGCAAAACCACGCGAAACACGGGAACGTGGTTCAACAACCAGAAAACATGATTTAACCTGAAAAAGAATATAAAAAATGAAGTTGGCATGTATCCTTCTATGAAGATGCATTAAAAAAATATCAGAACCTTGTAAACAGATTTTACCAATATCCTTCACATTATATAGTGCCTCCAAGACAAGAAAGAAAGAAAAAGTAACTGAGCCCGGATGGGGGAAAGAAGAGAGTGAAGCTATGGATTCTAACCTTCCCTTCCTTTGAGAAATGATCTTCAAGATCTCTCTCCGTAACCCTTGTGGAAAGTCCAGTCACATAAAGTGTATTCCCAGGATTATGAGGATCATCAGACCTGCCCCATACGCAAAACAAAACCAAATCAAAGGTGATGCCAGTTGAGGATTAAGGAATCAATCCAGGCATAAGGTAAAAATATTTAAATCAAAATCCTAATAAATAGAGAATTATAAAGGAAAACTGACCTTCCACGCGTTCTAGAGTGGGACCTGGACCTGGACCTGGACCTAGATCTTGACCTGTCCTTGGGCTTCGGAAATGATCTAGACCTAGATCTTGATCTAGACCTAGAGGGCAATGGAGAACGTGACTTTTCTTCCCATGGCGAAGGAGACCTCGAATGCCTGAAAATTTTAAATGCAGCATAAGAGAGAGCAAATCATCAAAAGCATAGAAACATGCCAAGGGAAAAACAGGAACCAATAACAAGACATGTTAAAACCATAATTTACTCCAAACTTCAGCCAAACTAATCGTAAGGTTCAGAACCAGTTTCTTTCTTTCTTAAATTGCCATAAAATTAGGCCAACTACACCAAGATGAGTTTGCCTTCAACATACAGTGAATACACTCTATATCACAAACCAATAAGCATCAAAAGCTCAAATCAGGAAAAGAGATTTTGCAAAACATGCACTGAGTATTACCCCCAAAACCAAATATCAATTATAGTCCTAAATTGATTACGAGTAAATTCTGTGAAGCACATCTTCCAGAAGCAGTTTTCTTTCAAAATCCAAGAAGCACACCAAACTGTGCAGCCAAACTTAAACTGTGAGGAAATTTCATTAGACACTAAAACCACCTCAAGGAAAAGGACCTAGACACAAAAATACATAATTAAACTGACCAGGGATTATTTGTTCAGAATATTTACATCTAGCCATGCAACCTTAGGCTCCTTTGTCAAAAGATATTCAAGGTCAATACATGATCTACCAGCTTGTCACAACAACAATCTAAAATTCCCCATCCAGGAACCAAAAGGAAATTTAAAAAAAAAAAAACAAAAACAAAAAACTGAAGCAGCAACATAAAAAAACTAAAATAAATAAAGTTTACGAAATTTATAATTACATAAAAGTTAATTGCATTTTAAAAGCTATAAACCTCATACGGAGCAAAAAAAAACAAACAAAAACACCAAAAAGGGGGGCAAACAGCAAACACTAGTAGATCGGGAGCTTCATAAACAGTAGAACCAAGCAATTAAAAACCTAAACCAACAAAAACGACAACGTAGGAATCTCGACGAAGAAAAAGACGTCGAATTCTCACCTTTTGCGAGGAGAATCGGCCTGAAAAGAGATCCAAAACAAGCACACAATTAAGGACAAGATTAAACATCAAAACCGATAATCGTAAACAGAAAAGTAGATAAGAGCTTGCCATTTTCGACGAACACGGTGAGTGAACGAACCCTAAATTGCGAGATCGCAGAGGCATGAAAACTCCGACGAGACCTGCCTTTTATACGTGGTGACCACTTTTTCATTTACTAAATTGGAAACTTTCATCCGAAGGCCTCATACTTTTACTAAATTCTAATATTAGACCAAAACGTTTTACCGTTTACGTAACTATCCCTCTAAAATCATCCTTTATGACTTATAGCCCAAAAAGAAAGTGGTAGTAATAAATAAATACTAACATAATACTAGTACAAAATTAAAATATTCACCATCTCCGGAAATGATTTTCCAATTTAGACCATTTCTAGTACAAGTTAATCTAAAGTGAAAACCGAAATGGAAGTATCATCTTAAGACAAAATAAAGTAGTAATGGTATCTCTTAAATTACTCTTTCTATCCTGAATTTAGTCCAAAACAAATATCGAAGAATCAACAAAATGTGAACCACTTTGTAAAGTTGTTACGTAATCTTGTCCCACTATGTTAATCCTTCTTCAATCATCTCATTTAATCATCGTCAGTCAATTAAAAATATTATTATTATCAGTAAGCAGGGAGAGTATACATCATTTTAAATTACGCAAATAAAACTACTAATTAGTGAGAGTACATAACAAAAAGAAGTAAGAACACAGCTACTACATAGTTACTAAGTACTGGTGGTATAAAACTAGCAAAGCCACTCTTTGAATTTTCACACGATTTACATCACATATATGACTTTATATTTTAGACATTAGATTAAAACAAATCTCATCTCATTCTAAACGTCCGAACTCCGGACAAAACAAATAACCAAAACAAGAAAGAAAACAACACGAGCGCAAAACAAAAAAAATAAAAATAAAAAAATCAATCTGAATAATTTTATTGTACCCTACAAGGTTCCTTCTCTGCATTATACACATGATATGATCAAAGAATACAGTGGACTATACCAACAACTAGTAGGTGTACTTTCACACACACTAACAAACTCGTCGAAGATCAGTGGGACATCTTAAGTAGTCAAAATGTCGGGAAGGGTAGTGGCATGAGCTCCAACAATCTTGCCTCCAACATCAGGGAAAGTCTCGAATCCCGGCAATGGACCAACTGTGCCATCATCTTCCACCTTTATAGGATATTTCAGGAGATGCCCCTGCAACAGCGAGAAATTCTCAGCAGTGTATCTCATCCAGTTGTCCTCCGCAACCTTATTAACTCGTTGCACACATTCTAATGTCTGTGGCTCCTCAAAATCTAACACCTCTCTCTCCAGCCCCAGATGCTCAGCCCAGAGTGACATTCTATAACCATATATCTGGTTACAAGGAAAGTGATCAGAATGGAATGGCAATGAAGATCAACACAAAAGCATGTTGGCAAGACAATTGTTCAAAATGACATAATAGACCAGAAACACTGAAATAAAGAGAGGAGAAACCGGTATTCAAACCTGCCCATGGGGATGTCCGTGTTTCTTGGCCCAGGTGTGGTGGGGCTGATATGAACCCATAGCTATCTCAGTGTCTTTGGTGCCGGCCATAGATCTTTGGTTTATGTTTGCAGACCCTAGGATTACATACTCATCATCAACTATCATTCCTTTTGCATGAACATATATCATGAATCGCTGATTTTTCCAAGAATCTGAAGCCTGATGAAGCACTTATGATTAGTTTGGAGACAATCTCCCAGCAGATAACTAATTATGTGCAATGAAAGAATCCTATCATCATACGAGCATGATAACAATTTACAAGTCCATAAAGTTAAAGAAAAACTCTGAATATTTCAACTTACCAACTGCTATTCCTGCCCTTAAATGATTGACAAAAATGTATAAAATATATATATAAAAAAATATATATATATATATATTAAATCTGCCTCACAAAAACTGATGACATAAACAACTAGCAAATATCTTATTTCTGCCAAGGATGTCAATCAGTTATTCAAGTTGGTAAAAGTATCTAACAGAGCATGAATTTTCCTAAGAAGATATGGTTCTTTTTAAGTGAACAGGGTACCTCTGGTAAAAGAAGATAAAGAACATATCACGGAGTGGAATGATAAAAAATTAGACATTCGTACTGAACCGAAATTTTCAGAAGCGCAAAAAGGAACTTCCTGAACAATTAATATACAAAATACTTAAACAAATAGAATCATCGAGTAAGTAGTAACAGGTTGAGATAGATCAAGAGAGCTTTATAATTACCTTATCCCCATTACCAGACTCGCGAAGAGCATCTGGAATCTCCTCCCGTTTCCCAAGGCAATAAAAATTTAAATAGTCTTGAGGATGAGCGTCAACAAGTTTCATGGCTTTGAGCTCCTGTGCAATAACCTGGTACATCGTCTGCATTGTCTGACTCTGTAGACCAAAAAACATATTTTGGAAGAATTAACCCGAGTTTCCTGTTTCCCTACAGCATACACACCATATATTTCTTCCCCCAATAGGGCAACATGAATGTAGTCATCCTTTGGATGAAAGAAGCCCACCTGCCAGAAGAGAATTTCTTGCATGGTAAGTGTTTTGGGATCACCCTCAGGCCACATCGGTACAACAACATAAACTGCAAATCTCTCCCCGGCTCTGATTTTGCTAATAATTTTCATGGCCAACTCCATAGGGATTTGATGATCAGCTCCTGTATTGAAGCTTATCTTCAGAACATCACGAATAGAATAAACAAAAATTTCATGATCAAATCAACTACTTTTACATGCCAACCGCTTCCAGATATGCAAGGAACAAATTGAAGTAAGAACTTAACCATTTGCTATTTTACAAAACAATTATCATCTAGGAGCTAGCTAGTATTGCAATCAAGAGTACGCTCCTCAGGCACAGTATAGTTGCAAGTGTAGCAAGAAATTCAATTCACCTGCATCTTTGTATGACGGCCAAGCATACGATGAACCAAGGAAATATTGGTTCTCAATATAAATAAAATGCTGAGCAGATCTGATTGCCTGTATATATGCTCTGAGAATACTTCTGTCTATCACCAGTTTCTTTGAGCAGAACAGACTCTGAAACAAAGAAAGTACAAACAGGGAAGAATAATGTCTAAATGTCACATATTTGCTCCAAAATCACAGTTCAAGCTATTTCAGTTAGAACATCAATAATGCAAGGAAAAATGAGAGAGTTTCCATCTGACCTGTGCCTGAGCAGCATCAACATATTTGGGGAAGCCCTTCACTGATCCTGAATCGATGGACCGAAATATCTGCCACATAACGAGAATTGAGGATTGACAATTTTTCAGAACTGACAGCAAGAAAGAACCATCCATCACTGAGGGAATCACCAACCTGTACATTCCAAGTCTCTTGGTGATTAACATCAGAAACATATAGTTTCGTATCATCTTCAGGAACGTTAAAAGTTCCATCCTTAGAAATGGAAATGGCTGGACTGAGTATCCATGAAATTCGTTCAATTTTTATCATGGCATCATCATGCCAGCGAGCCATCCCTTTCTTCAGAAATTTGAACTCTCTCCACCTAGTTGCTTTTCTCCATCGCTGAGCAAAGTTTATAAGGACATCGTATGCAGCAGGCCCGTCTATTCGGGAATGCAAATCATGCCATGGTTGCCTAGGAGCCTTGGTTCCTGGCTGATAGAGGCAACAAAATGATACAAAATGATATATAGAATTATCAAAAGAAAATACATGAAGAACCAAACAGCAACTCTGCAGAGCTAAATCATGTGCTAATGACATCTTCAGTAATTAGATATCCATTCCACATAAAAACAACCCAAAAAAACTGTTGTCATGTCACTTAATTTCCAACTTATAATTTATGCTATTTCATATGTTGACAGTAAGTTTCTGTAGTATTTGCATTCATATATTGTACTAAAATGCAACTGACCACAGTATAGTACTAAACAATTATAGAACTCCTAATTAATCGTAAACTTCAGGAAGCCTGGATGAGTTCATGGCCATCAGATCACTATATGAAATGAAATAGACTATCGTGCTTTCAGTACATAGCCTTCCTCAAAAATCAAAGTGAAGATGCAAGTTAGGTCCAAGCAAGGAAGGGGACTACAACATTGTTTGGTTGCTTTCGTGGAAGGATAACTCCCTTAACCAGAAAATGATAAAAATCTAGCAATTGACACAATACTCTGAAAGCTTCTCCAAGTTACAGGAAGATCTGTGGTTAACTTTACCGGGAATAGAACTTCCACCAGTAAAAAACGGCCGCAAGAGTTTAAAGATGCATCAATTTCAAAGAAAACATTTGTCTCTAGTGTTGACAGGTGTAATCTCTTTGGATAAAAATAAAGTGCATGAGATCGATAACTACTCACAGGAAATGTAGGTTGATGGACATCATCCTTAAATACAGAATCAAGCCCATGAAATAGCCGATGCTGTGGTGTGTCATAACGACCATCACACATATCAAGACCACCGAGAAATGCTGTAACCTTTCGATTGTTACCATGCGCCTGCGTATCTACAAGAACACATTTCTGATGGTGTGTAAAGAAAGTCCCTACTACCTGGTGAAAATAATTGAACAACAAGTTCAGTGTCAGAAAAGAATTTCAAGAAAACAAGCAAATATTGCATTCATCAGCAGCCTTTGTAATTTGAAAATTTTCTTGGCTCCCGTCAAGACAAAATTGATACGGTGGGTTGTTCTCATATTTCAGTTTTTTTGTTTTCTTAACAGGTATGTTGAATGACAAGATTACAACGCTTTGTGAATGCACTAAATATCTTGTCAAGAAAGAAGTGGACTCTATCTAGGAGGCATCATCACCAGCTAGTGTAAAAGCTTTGGAAGAAAATTTCTACAGAAAGCCTAAACAAGCGGATCAACAGCAACAAGTAAATACTTAGTTAAAACGATAAGCTTGAGCAAACTACATTTGGAATATTTTGTATATTGGATTCTAGAGGTTTGTTCATTTCACGTCCAAATACAATTTGGTGTCTTTCACAAACCAAATAGCTAGAAAACCTTCACCTACCTATCATCATCATGCACAACTTTATCAACTGGCATTTTTTCTTCTCATAGGTCTAACTTAATTCAGCTTGTCTAATAAGGAAAAAGAACACATATAGAAAATCTTCCAATCTAAGCAACAGAGGAACAATGAGAGAAAACTTAACTTTTGCTTCATGTAGCCCAGTTTACCGCTGGCATAACGTGGTGACAGAACACAAATCACGGAGGAGTGCTTGAAAAACTTTCGAGTCTCTTCATCGTGAGTTTGCATCACCCCTGCCTGATTCATCACAAAGCAGCAAATGTTAGTCCAGTCAAAGGCTCATGGATTTAAATTAAGATTTCCGATTATGCTTCACATTCACGTAAAGGATCAGAACATACCGTCTTAAAGAAGAAATTTCTCTGCGAGGTCTTATCATCCCAAACTAACAACAAAACCCGAACCCCTTCTTCTGACTTATACTTCAACAATTCTCCAAGAGTCAAATCCCCACCTCGCGGCAACGGCTTGCTGGGTTCTCTAATCAACTTAATCTTGTGGAAAACAGACCAACCCACGATGTAAATCATGTGATGAGCTTCAGATATAGCATAGCATATATCCTCCCAACATTTAGGTTGCTCATAAACCATACCATCATCCAGTTTAACTTTAGGCAACTTACAATCATCAGTGACATGTGCATCTTGATAAAGGGTCAGAGAATGGCCTTTCCTCAGTGGAAAATAAGTCCCCCTCACCCCTTTATGTGCAGGGTCACCAGCAATACCATGTTTATAAAGCGGACTTTCCTCAGCGGGAGTGAATTTCATCTCCAAGTGAATGGCGGCGCCGGGCTTGGGCGGCTTCCCATTCGGGCCGGCAAGATCGAACCAATCGGAAATCAATAGGCCGGGCGCAAGTTTATCATAAGGAATCTTAACCGTCCCAATAGTTTGAGCCCCGAAAGCGTCGTTGTCCTTGACCCGAAACTCCAGAAAATCCAAAGGATGAGCTATGGGGAGATTAAACCTTTCGTCCCACTTGGGGTTCTGAGAGTTGGCCACGACGCGCGTGCGGGCGAGAGTGGCTTGTGGTACCGAGACAGTGACGTAGGGGTCGCTGGTGATGATATTGGGGTGGTGGTGGTGAACTTTAGAATCCCGGTCGTGGGTGCCGCCGCCGCCCTGGTGGGGGTGTTCTTCCTCCTGTGACGGCGGCTTAGAAGGGACGCAGGCGGTGAAACAGACCCGGAGACGCTGAGAAGTTAAGTCCATGTTGGGCAACCTGCGGGCTTCAATTATATGTAAATCCAAGTCGCCGTACAAAATCGGCATCCCGTTTGCCGAATTCCCATCCATTTTGTTTCTTTGGATACGAATCTCAGACCCAAAAGAACCAAAAGGAGGTTAAACGAAGAGAAGGTGGCCCAGTGAACTACAAGAACAGGGAAGCCATTGTTTGGAAGATAATAAACCGGGAAGTTTAGATGGGGAAAAAAAAATCAATAATTGAGCTGAGGAAGAAGAGAAAGAAAGGAATCAAAGTGGTTGGATGATTGGGGTTTAAGAGGAAGAAGAAGAAGTGAAAAGAACAGTGGATTGGGAGGTGGGGTTAGGGATCGTGGCACGTTGTGAGGAGAATTCGTGGGGGAGGAAAGCCAGCGGTGGTTGCATTTGCAGGACATGCCGTTGCAATCAGAGTTGTCAATGTAAAAACTTGTAATCATCCAAAAAAGCTGTACTCAAATGATCCACATTCAGGAAATTGCTGCAACTGTAAATTTTTCCAAATTGCCAAAAAAAAAAAAACAGAGCACATTTTTGGCTTTTCTTTTCTCCCCCTGGTAGTTTATTATCAACACTTAGTTTTATTTAACTTTTTATATTTTAGAGCACAGAAACATTTGTTTTGACTTTGGAGACATTTACAGGCTAATTACAGCACATTCGTGAGTAGTTTAAAGTTAAAATCATGGATTAATTATATTAGAAAGAAAATGAAAATAGGAAAAAGAGAATAATAAAAGCTAACTCCATTTACGTCACTTCTGTCAAGTACGGAGTGACTTTTCAGTTTATACCGTTTAGATTAACCTCATTTCTGTATTTATTATTAAGCCAAAATAACTCCCTCTTCGGTTATAAGGAAAAATATCCATTAAGCTAAACCGAAATAGAATAATGATACATCCAGGAAAAAAAAAACAAGAAAAATTTTTAAAAAAATGATGTGCCACCAATCTAAAAAATGCTTAACATTAAATGCATAAATCCCAGATGAAAATTGTTAAAAATGAATGATTTATGATCATTCCTTGTCATTTTTTAATTTTTTTTTTTTTGGTTCCGCAAATCATTATCCAATAATTTAACAAACAGAAAGATGAAACATTTTTTAATTGTTGTAAGTAACAGTGTATGAGTAGCTCAGTTGCCATTTTAAAGTAGCAAAAGTTAAATGGTTTATGCAAAGGAGTAATCATTTTACCATTACAGGAAATCAGTATGATTGGATTTTTTGGGCGTAGGGAACGAGGACAGAGCTTTCATTTTTACCAACTTTTTTAACACTTTGCGTGCGGGATCGAATCTCATGGACAGATAGAACTAGTTATAGCAAGTATAAAATTGCATCTCTGAGATCAGACATTTAGAATAAAAGAAAATAGATATGGATACTTTGGACTCTCATTGACACATTTCGGATTTATTTAATTGAATTTTGATTAGGGGTTGGAGACGAGGATTGCGATGAATGGCGGAGTTGTCTATTTCCATACTCCACGGAAAATAACGTGATCAGCATCCATGGCCATCACCGCCGTGAATCTGCCAACTGCCCACATTGATTAAACCTTTTTTTTTTTAATTAAACATTTTACTCCGTCCTAACTTATATTCAAAGCGAAAATCTAAATTAGAGTAATTATTATATTTTAAGACATAAGAAATACTAGTTATCAACAAGCACTAGACATATAATATGGTAAAAGAAATATTCTACACTTGGGTATCTTATTATTCTCTACATCAAACAAATTACAATATAATTCAAGAAAAATTACAATAATGTTTTAGAAAATTCATCCTTTTCTTGCCCTGTACAGTAAAAACTCTATAAATTAATAATATTGGGCCCATAAAATTTTTATAAAGATTATTATCTTATCGATAAATTAATAATAAATATTTATTAGGAAATTAATATTTTTAAAGGCATTTTTTAAATTCTATAAAGAAAAAAATACTCCATTTCATCCCTACTTCCTTATATTTTTATAATCCTATCATTTTTATTTGTTGGTGGGAGGAAAATCAAAGATTAAATGTTCTTAAAAATAAATTTCAAGAAAAAACAAGGCTCAATAGCCTCATACTTTCTTAAATATATTCTTAATTTTTGTTTGGTATTTTAAGTTATTATTAATAAAAGATTTTTGGAGGACCTATATTTATATAGGAATTTTTTTAAAAAAAATATTATTTTATTAATTTATCGATTTTATTTTATTTTTGTGCTAGTCCCGATGTGAGACCGAAAAAAATTTATCATTTAATATTTACAGAATATTAATTTATGGAGTTTTTACTGTAATTTTTAATCAATTCTCCCTCAAATTATGGACTATATAGTGAAGGTCCCGTTCTTAATTATGGTACGAGTACGTAACATTTTTTATTCTATTTTTTGAATTGATTAAAAAGTTGAGGAAATTTGAGAAAATTCTTATTAAGGGCACTTTATGTTTCAATATTCCTAAAGAGGGCATAAAACTTTTGAAATTCCCATCAAGGGCGTAATAATGTTTTTAGTCATTCAATATTTTGTTAATGACAAATGTACCCTATACTTAATGCAGTTATTAATAATATTTATATTCCCTTTTAAGGAAATAAAGTTTGCTCTTTCCAATTTCATCATCTCTAATGGAATCTTTTTTCCCCCTAATTTTCATGAAATCATAAACGGCTTTCAGCTCTGCTCTTAATTGTTTAGATAATTTTAGCTTCCTTAGCCCTCCCCTATTCCCATAGGCTATTATTATTTCCGTAAGAAAGTTTTTTTTTCGAAATAAGGTTTTTTATTCAAATCAGTTTTTTTCCCCTTCTTTTTGGAGATTTTAGGTTAATAATAATATTTATAATTTAGAGTTTTAGATTTCCACTTTTATCTCCAGATTTGAAAAAAATTGTGTTAAAAATAGAATTTGATCCTTTTTTTGGTCCTAACAAGTTTCTTTTTCTTGGTTTGGGTTTCTGAGGAAATCCGCCTCTAAGGTCATGTTTATTATTTTTTTAAGAGTATGGATTTTAATGTTTATTAAATAAATGATACAATTGTCACAAATAAAATACTTAATGACTAAAAACATTAATACGCCCATGAGAGAAATTTCAAAAAATTTACACCCTTTTTAGGAATATTGAAACATACAACACCCTTAGTAAGAATTTTCCCAAGGAATTTTACATCTCACAAGTCGATATAGACGGTCTAATAATTTTGACGTCGTGCATAATAAATTTGTTGAATTAATTTTCAATTGGTCCAAACTCCAAACTTGAGGTAGGAGATGGTATTGGCAACATAAATATGGATCAAATTGTTCAATTGCCGATTGGAAATGTGTTTAGCAATAAATAAAGATGTAAATAAGTAATCTCTCCATTCTAAAAAAAATTACAGCTTTAGAAAAATAAATTTTTTTAAAAAATAAATGTGTTTTTTTTTTTAATTCTATACACTTTTTGCCTTCAAAAGAAATAATATTATTTGCAATCATTTATTTTAATAGGTTGGTTAAGTATATTTTAGTAGCAGTAATGATACAGCCAGTGAAAAAGTATAGTGAAAACTAATAGTGACCGATGTGTCTTTGCTAATTAAGGATATAAATATAATTTTTAAAGGGAAAAAATATAATTTATATGGAAAAGTAGCTACAAAATAGGGGATCAACCCAATCAATATTTATTTTTACTGTATATAGTCACTTATCATTTTTCATTCTAGTAGTATCCACCCTATTTAAGTGTTTTTAAAAACATACGTAAATTGTCTAATAACACTTATTTTTAAAAGGAGAATGATTAATTACATAATACCAAATCTTAAAGCTATGAAGCTTTATGAAAAATTGAAAATGCAATCTCATATACATCACTCGATTTTAGGTTCAATCCTTTTAGATGCTTTCCATTGAGATTTTTTACAACCATTTGCAACTGTATCGTCTTGCATTTTAGAGGAAAAGTCCTAGATTTCACTCGTTCCAAATTTATTGTACTCTTTATGTCCTAAAATTATCATATAATTTAGATTTTTATTTTAAGTTCAATTTGTACTAAAATTAAAATTCCAACTAAACAATAATACACAACACTATTTTTCATTTGTAACTTCATTTTGGTAATCACCAAAAAAGCATGTCGGTCGACCATTTTGATATTGCTTGTGAATAGTATCATTTATTTCAGTCGTCCATGATTACGTTTACACACAATCAAAGAGATTAGATATGAAGCATTCTAAAGCATTTTTTACTAAATTTATAGGGGTATTATTGGTCCAATCTCCTTTTACAGCAGATCATATGTCAATCCAAAAATTTGTGTAGGTGCGTAAACAGAGACACCAAAGGGAAACTTACAAGTTACAACTTTATGCACACCTTTGGGACAAAGGGTGTCAGCTATTAATTTTTCAATAGCAACTTCTGGAGTTTCAAAAAAAATAAATAAATAAATAAAAAAAAGCAACTTCTAAATAACAATAGAAGTATGCCTTCGATATATCTACACTAAAACTAAATCAACAATATGTATAAATATATTTGATTGAAAGAGTGTAAGTTACATTTGATGTGATTTAATTATGATTTTTTTTCCCCTTGGTGATGTTTCATCCGTTTTCAAAACAATTATGTTTTCTTTCACCCGTTGAAGAAATGCACAAAGTTCGAATTAATCAACATTTTCAAGGATGATTCAAAATAAATACTCCCTCCGTCCTATAATTATTGTCCAGTTTGGGTATTGTTTTTTAGTTCAAATTGTACTAAAAGTGAAATTCTAAACTGGACAATAATTTTGGGACAAAAGGAGTAATTAAATAAAAGCCGGTCAAAAATGGATGTACACAAATATATTGTGTGAGGGTTAGGGAGATTAAAAATTATGTGAACAATGTCATGAAGCGGCTGAAGAGGAGAATAAGGTTGGGGCCTGGGGGTCGCGGAATAGGGTGGGTAACAAGAATCAAGCAATGGTTTCCCCCTCCCTTAGAATGGTTGAAGATTAACATCGATAAAAATTTTAACTGAGAGACTGGGATGGGGAGTGTCGATGGGGTTGTAACTTGTAAGAGATTGTTATCGTAAGTGGTTGGGTGGATTTACCATGCATATCGGATTTTATATTATTCTGGGACTTATTCTAAGGCCTTACGCTTGCTTGGGAGTTGTTGGGTTGACAGAAGGTGATGGTTGAATTTGACAATACGAGTATTATCATTAGGGTACTAAGTGGGAAAGAAGTGGTTGGTCTCAATACAGGGATGGTGTGTGGAATTCGTAAAAAGTTTAAGAGAAATTGGATTATTGAGATTAAATATGTGTTTCGATAGCCTAATTTTACAGTAGATTATGTGGCTTCACTTGTAGCACAAAGTCCGGATGGACTTCAATGACATGATGCTCTATCGTTGAAGGTAATTAGAACATGATGTAATCGGAGTAGTATATATACGTAATATGCTAAGTTGATTTTAGGTGCTGTGCTTTTTTCATTGTATACCCAAAAAAAAAATTATCACCATCTTACAACTATGTATTAAGAAATAAAAATATTTTAAAAGTCACCAGCTAATTTTATTCAGGACAAAATCTATGAATTCAACTATCGTGTAACTTGATGTTATAAGTTCTTTACAACTTCTACGGGCTCAATTTGTTTTATGGACTCTGCAGCATAAACTGAATAGAGAGGTACGATCCAAAGAAATGATTTATTTCTTTTTAGGACAAAATAACAATGGAAGTTTTTGTTGGGTTAGGTCTAGGAATTGGGATTCATTGCAATAAATCAAAACAACAAGGCACGTGATTGCTCATATAAAAAATATACTCCGGGTTATTGCTGCAATTGAATAGCTTAAGGAGTATTTTTGCAATTAACTATCAAGGCATAGAGTCGTGTAAGTCCACTGACGAATCCCAGCCGACTTCACGCGGCAGCTCGAACGAGACGGGCCCAACCCAAAAGCCACAACCCGAAAACCCGGTGCTATATTTTCACCCCCCACAACAAAGCCCTAGAAAACATATAAGAAAGCTCAAAACCACAGGGGGCCACCCATATCCTTCCAGCACCGCCACCACCGATCGCCGGATCGACTGCCTCCCTCTATCTTTCTCTCTAGCTCCGGGGAATAGGAGGGAGGCTACGGGAACTCCATCCATCTCAGTTCCATTACCATAATCTCATTGATTGAGAGGTAAAGTTAATTCCTTTGCTGTATAATTCATGCACTTAGAAAAGCATCGTGCTACCTAAGCAGCAGTTGCTTCAGATATCTATCTTCAAATATACCGGAGCTTGTTTGCTTTTTTATGTAGTGATTGTATTTCCCATGACCATGATGCCGCAGTTTCGTGCTGGCAATTTTTTCCCCCTTTTCTTATTCGTCCTGGGTAGCTGGTAATTTTTGTTTTTAATTTATAGTCCAGCAATGAGTATGATGGACGTAGCTTTAACTACTCCTCTTTGTTGAGTTGGGAGTGATCTTTACCGTTTATGTTCTTCCAAGGAAATAAGAATAGGGGAATTTATTTTTTCTTATTGAACATGGATGAGAAACTAATCTACTGCATTTATCTTTCTTTTGTTAATATGGCACTACACTAATTAACTGCGGCAGAGTGATTTTTCTAGGTTACTGGTGTGGATTAAACTATATTCTCTCTTAATGGTTTGGATGTTACTGCAAGATCCTTTCTTTTCTTTTTTTTTTTTTTTTTTTGAGATGCTTAGCTGATATTTGTGTTTTTAGATTGCACGTAGAAGACGCCTTCTTGCTTATGTGCTGCTATAGAGATTCTATTGGGCTTCAGTTATTTGGAAGACATGGTTTCTGCTAAGATTATGATGCGATTGATTTCATACTCCGACGAGATTGTTGATGGACAGCCTATTTATGTCTCATCTAACTGTGCCCCTATTAAGGCCTCCAACTTTGAACCAGCTGGGCAGGCCTTTCATTCTGCTGCTCTTCGGCGGTATGGTTTTCGGGAGGAAGAAGACACCGATGCTGATGATAAAAGCGACAGTGCAAGTGAGAAGAGTCAGTCTTATACTCAGTCCTCAGACTCGTACAACACTAAAGGTAAAAAGAAATCCGGAGAGAATCAACAAGATCATTATGCACTACTGGGTTTAGGTCACTTGAGGTACCTGGCTACTGAGGATCAGATAAGAAAGAGCTATCGTGAGGTTGCTTTAAGGTACCACCCAGATAAACAAGCCTCCATTCTGCTTGCTGAGGAGACTGAAGCCGCAAAACAAGCAAAAAAAGAAGAAATAGAGAACCATTTCAAAGCCATTCAAGAAGCATATGAAGTCCTGATAGATCCAGTCAGAAGAAGAGTGTATGATTCCACTGATGAGTTTGACGATGAAATACCCACTGATTGTGCCCCACAGGACTTTTTCAAGGTCTTTGGTCCAGCTTTCTTGCGGAATGGTCGTTGGTCTGTCAACCAACCTATCCCTACATTAGGGGATGAGAATACTCCAATCAAAGAAGTTGACAACTTTTACAATTTTTGGTACAGCTTCAAAAGTTGGAGGGAATTTCCTCATGCTGATGAGTTTGACCTGGAGCAAGCTGAGTCCAGGGACCATAAAAGATGGATGGAGAGACAGAATGCAAAGCTCACAGAGGGTGCAAGGAAGGAGGAAGCAATGAGAATACGTTCTCTTGTTGATAATGCTTACAAGAGGGACCCCAGAATTTTGAGAAGGAAAGAGATGGAGAAGGCTGAAAAGCAGAAGAAAAAAGAAGCTAAATTTTTGGCGAAGAAATTGCAGGAGGAAGAAGCAGCTAGGATTGCTGCGGAGGAGAAACGCAGGAAAGAGGAGGAAGAGAAGAAAACAGCGGAAGCTGCTTTACAGCAGAAGAAGATGAGAGAGAAAGAGAAGAAGTTATTGCGTAAAGAAAAATCCCGCCTCCGTACACTTTGTGCTCCTATTTTGTCCCAGTATCCTCGTGATTTTAACGGTGACGATGTTGAGAAGTTGTGTTCGTCACTTGATATGGAACACTTGAAAACCTTATGTGACAAGCTCGAAGGTGCAAAAGAAGCACAGAGGGTGGAGATTTTGAGAGATGCTCTTGGACACGAGCAAAAACCTAAGGTTGAAAAAGAAGATGTGAGAAATCCACAGCAGAATGGTTCTTCAGAGATCAATGGACAAAATCCATCCGTTGTGAATGAGAAAAAAGATAAACCATGGAGTAAAGAAGAGATTGAACTGTTGAGAAAGGCTGTGCAGAAATATCCAAAAGGAACATCACGAAGATGGGAAGTCATTTCTGAGTATATTGGTACCAACAGGTCAGTTGAGGAGATTTTGAAGGCAACGAAAACTGTTCTTCTCCAGAAGCCTGACTCGTCCAAAGCTTTTGATTCATTTCTTGAGAAAAGAAAGCCAGCACCAACAATTGTATCTCCCCTAACGACTAGGGTGGAAGTTGAGGGGGTATCGAACAGCAGTTCTGCAGAGGGCAGTTCTGGCAAGGTGGACGAGGTCCATGTACCTCCCAGTCAGATTGAAAACCAGCCAAAATCTGGGAATTTGAGCAAAGAAGATGGGGTTTCTTCAGGCGGAGATCAAGATGAATGGTCTGCAGTTCAAGAAAGAGCCTTAGTTCAAGCATTAAAAACTTTTCCTAAGGATGCTAACCAGCGTTGGGAACGTGTTGCTGCTGCAGTTCCTGGCAAAACAGTTGGCCAATGTAAGAAGAAATTTGCATTGCTTAAAGAGTTTTTGAGGAACAAGAAGAATGCTGTTTAATTTGTCCAGAGTTCCCTTGGTCTTGGGTGAATGACAGTGATCATTCAATCAGTTTTGCTGCATATGATTGAATCTGTGGTCTGATCCTTTTTTCTGAGCAAAGATCAGGCGTGATGACTACAGTATTGTTGGGAAGGTATCATCCATTGACATATTTGCCCTAGTTATATCTGAGTTACATATATGCTTTGGGGTATCTCTTTCCAACCCCTTTTTGGCCTTATTATGATGTTGGTATCTTTCATTACACATTTATTTGGGAAATTAGGTCAGTGTACTAGAATAGGTGGACATGATTTTGATCCATGTTCCAGTTCTGTATACTAACTAGTGTTGCCATAATGCCATTAACGACCTCATGAGCTTATATTAGTAGTATTCCAGAATTCGTTCATGTTTTTGAATCTTTTGATTGGTTCGATTTAGCACAATTTATCACCACACTTTTTTTTGAAAAAATAAAATTTCCCCCTCTTCTTTTAGGGTTCCCCCTCCCCCCATTACAAACTTATCCTGCTTTTCAATCATAATCAATATGCACCACGGCCATGGCAAGAAAGCACATTTATAATTGGTGCAGATTGTTGTATGAATGAGATGAAGCAGGCACTAGCAAACACAACACATTAGTGAGGCTGGCTAGGCTAGCTGCAGAAACAAATCGTCAAAACGGGAAAATCAATTATAGCTGCGGAACGCAGACGACAGCCGCAGCAGCGTGGTGATTTTCAAACCAAGAAAGTTGGGGATTTGGGGAAGTAGAAAGATAGAATGCCACAATTGAAAAGAACCCCCTGTTCCCTTTTTAATCATCTTTGAATCAAATATCTGATCTTTGCGTATCCAGCCTCCCAATTTCCTCGAGGAAAGAAAAGAAAGAAGACAAAAATATTTTGAATTGAAATATTGCATGTAATTATGTATACCCTTATATTGAATTTGTACAAACGTACTACCACGGCATCTCCACTCTCGTCGTTTTTCGAGTTCTCTGTACGTGTTTTTCTCATTATTGTCAATTTTTTGGAGTTACAATCAAACAAACCCATTTGAGTTTTGGTTTGTGTTCTAACTCGTAATGATACGGCATGAACATTTATAATTCATCCTTTCAACAATAAAGTTTACGTTTATTGTAACAAAAACATACGTTTTAGGATGCGGTTCATGCACATTCTTCTGTGAAGCTAGGAGCTTTCGCCATTGAGATTACGATCAAAACAATTATATCTTATGATTATGATTTTGAGTCTTCTTTGAAATATTACCCATTCTATTTCCAAAGTCATTTCTCCGACTAATCCGGATTCGAGCCGAGTAGATCCTTTCAAAATTCAAATTATGATTTTGAGTCTTTGAAATAGAAGAAATATTCAAAATTGTATCGAGCCAATTGAAAACATTGAAGGGTTAAAATAAAATCCAGAAATAGTGAAGAGGCAAATGTTGAGTTTTTAATTGATTACTAAAGAACTGGTTCCTTTGGTTCGAAATCTGGCTCCTTTTAGTCACTAGCCGTTTCGTTATATCAGAAAGCAGAAACAAAGCCTTCATGATCATAAAGTTTACAAAATTATAATACTCCCTCCGTCCCATAATTATTGTCCAGTTTGAGTTTTCATTTTTAGTACAAAATGAATTAAAAGTGAAATCTCAAACCGGACAATAATTTTGGGACGGAGGGAGTACTAGATATACTAATTGACGATATACTCTTTTTCCTTCTTTTCTTCTTGTTCTTTTTTTAGTTTCCTTCAGTTATATACTGAACACCCATTTCAATCATACTCAACATGCACTGCAAGAGAGTACTATTACATTTAGTGCATACTGCAAACTGAAGTATGAAATTCTGAAATGAAGCAGGCACTAGAAAATACAACACATTTTGATACATCTCAAAGAGTTAAAACCGTGATCACTCCCTCATACAAGTATTACCATATTTTCAGAAGCATATTATATAGGTGGCCTTGCATAAAAATTACATATTTTCAAGGATTCTGTCCAGAAAAAAGCTAGAAGAAAATCGATAGGGTTACAACCTATAGATACCACAGAGCACCAAGAGCCTGGCGAAGTACTCCTTGGGAAAACCTACTAAGGCCAGAGCTGGGAGAGAGATTTCCCCTTTTGGCATTCAACTATGCATTCCAGAGTAATCTCTTTCAGATGCTTCTCAATATCTTCAATGGGTAGAGTGGCATCAACAGTCTGCAAAGCAAACCAAGAAAAAGAATGAATACTCTAACTTTATGATGCCACAATATTGACCGCATGACATTTTACAATGTGTTAACCAAAAAATGTTTCTAAGTGAAAATTTTCTCCTGGAAATCTCTTGAACTTCATTCAAGAACTATAGAGAGCAATGTCCCAGAATTGCTCCGAAGGCAACATAAATTATATTATTGTGGAAGTTAAAACTGAATGATCAAGGACGAAGCAAAAAAATTTACCTTCCAGGAAGTATCAATAAGCTTCTTGTAAGATTCTGCAACTTTCTTCTGAAATTCAAGCTGCTCGTATCTCTCCCCTCCATAACCCCCTCTTTCAGCAGCTTTCTAGTGTTCACAAAAGAGAAAAGAAAATTGAGTTTTATGCAAGAACATTCAACATAATCCAGAGTGGTACTGAATGTAGTAGTTGCCTCTTTAAAATCAGTTTTCAGCTTTTAAAGCTTCAAAGGCTCTTGCCTTTTAACCCCTAGTGCCGTCACAGTTATGCCAATAAACAAAGGAAGCCATAGTCAAAGGACTGATCAAAACCAGTTTTTAGTTAACAACCCTCCTACTTGACAGTGACAACATGCTTTCAACATGCCAGCCATTAAAACATGTACCAATATAGACAAATTACAAGCCTCCGGAAACAAGCATATTAAAGGGCATACACTAGTCTCTTGTCAAAAGGTTCTCCTGGACTTCAAAAAAACATACTGAAGTATTCCTATTAACATTACATCTTAAGTACACAACAGGCATGAAGACATGCCGACCTTTCAAGTTTGACCAGGCTACTCTCATATGTAATTTCTCATTTCCAAGTGCACGGAAGGGCTATTTTGATTAGAAAGCTGAACCCTTTCTGCTTTTCAAAAATTGCAAATGTGGGAATCCATAGTCTGGGTAACAAGAGGCTGGAAATCTGAATTCACTAATCTGACATTAGCTTTATTTCTAACAACTCTTCTCATCCTCTAAAAATTGCTAAAGTTTTCTTTCAAAGAACAATTTCATGTTCAACAAATATAAGCAGCTTCAACTCAAAGAAGTTTAAATTATTCATTTAGGGTCAAAGCATATCAGTTAGCATTACCTCAGGTGAAATGTCCAGATAAACCACCAAATCCGGGGCCAACAACCCAACCTCTGGAGCCTGCATAAGAGCAACATAGAAATTAGTAAAGTGAGTTTTAGTTGGCATCCAGACAATTCTAACCAAACTCCTTTTACCTTGCACCACTGAAAATCAAGTCCTTTGGCACTTGAGAAAGCAACGCCGGAGTAAGAATACCGGTCAACTATGAGAGTCGTTCCACTCATCAGCTTAGCTTCCATTAATGATCTACAATGAAAGAAGTAGTCAACACAAATATTTCATCCAAACTGGCGCGATGTCTATAAAATCATAGGTTGCCTCTACAACCTCAATTGAATTTAAAAACTCCAACCAGAGTCAGAAAAGGAAAACTTTTATAAGCCCTTTCGCTTCACAAAAAGGGTATATTTTGATTGAAGGTAATAATATCCACATCGCCAACAATGAAATAACCAGATATGCACACCAAGGAAAAAGCGAACCTTTTCTCCCACCGATTTGCACTGAATAGTAAATGAATGGCATGGTCATCCAATTGTGATTGGTTCGAAAGGTAAGAAGATATCATCCTCCCAACACCAGTAGTTCTATCTGGAAATCTCCATGATTCAACTGAATATCCCAGACCTTCCAATGTTGAAAGTAATCGGGCACACTGAGATGTCTTTCCACAACGATCCAAACCTTCAAGAACAATTAAAGCTCCTCTTGAATCTCTTTTCAGATCGTTATGCTGATGACTCCCCATCCGAACTCCTCTAAATGAATGCTTAGATTGGAAATTCAACTCAAAAGGAGAATTCAACAAGGGGTACTTTGTAATCCTTCCAATATTTCTTAAACTGAACAGCATGCCAAAAGAGAAAGCATAAAAGTAAAGTCACCTTCAAAGATAGTACAAAGAAAAGAAAGGAAAATTGGCAAACTGTTGAGAAAAGCCTATCTTACAGAGAGTTAGGAAGTGAAAAAACAGCAGACATGGGTCATATCCTCCCAATCTCTGCAAAATCAGATAATTACACAGAAGGAAACTAATTTAAAATCCAGGCCAAGCGCCCAAAATACACTCAGCCCATACACTTTAAAAGCTGGAAACTCCTATTTACTTCCTGAAAATAAAATCGCCCGAAAGCAAGTTTTCTATCAAATAAAAAATTCATTTTAAAATGTTCCAAGTTTCCAACAGACCAAAACAAGAAGAACCGTGATAACCAACAATAATCCCTGAAAAAGACAAACAATAAAGGAGAATTGCTAGAAAGTATGGTTTTGCTGTACAAAACTACAAAAGGGGACACGATTTCACGCATACATTTAAAATTGGCCCGCGAAAACACAGAGCACTTACATCCACCTCCGTTCAAGCACTTATATGCACCAGATACTGAAGTCCGCGATTCTCAATTCTTCAGTTCACCCACGGCTAGGGATTGGAGATTGGAGGCAACAATAGCAGAAGTGGGTCCTGGAACGCCGACGGATCGTATCAAGGAAGTGACGACGACGGCAAAGGAAGACAGGGCGGACCGGTGAGTGGGGGAGGGCGGTGACGGTGGCGGCTGAATAGTGAATACAGGAAGGAGTCGAGTAATGGAGGGAAAAAAGAGGGCTTCGGTCTCTCTGTGTTGTGAGGCTTGTGGAGGGAACGAAGTTTTCTATTTTGCAATTAGGCGGGAACATTTTAACTATTTAGAATTTAGCCTCACTAACCGGAGTCTGCAACGTAAATCTTTTAGGCTCTGTTTGTTTCCTTTTTCTCATGTTTTTTTTAGATTAATAATAAAATAATTATTATTTCATTTTACTATATTTTTTTATATTTTTAATATATTTTTTTATATTTTCAATACAAAAAATACTTAAAATATACATATTAAAAAAACGAAACAAACATATTCTTAATTTCCGGGAATCTGCAACATAAATCATGAAATATCAATCTGTTCCTCAAATTTTGGATTTTGTACGGCCTTTAGTTAAACGAAAATCCCTCATAGTAATTGATTTAGGGTTTTTGTTGTCCTCACATGGTGGGGCACTATCCATTGACTTACTTTTTAAATGCAATGCTTAACTATTGAGAATGCTACACAAAATGCTGATGGCCGGCTGCTACTAAATATGTTACAGATAAAATTTATTAGGGTCCCTGATCTACATGTTAATCGGAAAAACAGCAAAGCAGCATTCATCCAAAACTACATTAATGATTCACAGAGAACACAATGCTCCAGAATCGAGGCATTCCTTTACCCTAAAAATAGGACGAAACCAACACACACAAGTTCCACGACCGATAAACGGGAAAATCCAGTCCGAGTTTGACGACATATCCAAGCAAAACATATATAGTTTTAAATAACCCAAAGTACTAAAACCCACACGGAAACACACAAATAGATAAAGACCAACACAAATGTCAAATAGATCCAGAAACCACGATGCATAACACAGCAGATATCAGAAAGAAGTGTTAGACTTCTGTTCATCCTCCTCATGCTCTTCTGCGAGGCCCGCTTATCCGGCAGCTTATCCACCTCCGCTATCTCTTCTTTAGAGACCAATTGTCTATTCCCGTCCCTTCCAACATACAGAACTTGAACACCGGAAAGAACAGATTCATCAGGAGGGAGAACATTATAGAACCAGAATGGATAAATCTTCAGGATATAAACTAAGTATAAGAATGAAAGGGGCAAGAATTCACAAACTTACCTCTCAAGTATCCAAAACTACTTTCAGGAAAATAACCAGAACCATGACTTAGTGAAGATTTGATCCACTCCATAGCTACACAAGCACCTCGCCAGAGTGAAGGTTTGATCAACTCCGTAGCTTCCGAAATGATCAACTTGTAATAGGGCCTGTAGAAGAAACAGAAACAATTTCCTAAAATACTTAATCCAAGTAATCCCAAGCAAAATTTCATAACCTCATCACAGACAAATCAAAACAATTAAAAATTAATATAAATAAAAAGGAAGGCAATAAACAACCATGTTCCCACGTTACTAATTTTAAGAGTGGTCATATAGCAAGTCTTGAACTAATAAAGGGCCCCCCCAGAGATATGAACACAAGCAAATGAACCAGATCCGGTGCCTAAAACTGGATGTTTTTCCACTTTCAATTTACCATTGACTCTATAAAGGCCAGGTCCCTATAGTGATGCAACTCGATCAGCCTTGAAATCCTCACGCTCAGCCAGAAACTTAGTCACCCACAGTACTACTTCTGCCTCTTGACCACGTTGTGCCTTCATGCTTAAGGCACTAGAAAGAGACAACTGACATAAGTCACACACCAATCCTTCCACGATTGGGGATAAATAAATTCAGAGGAAAAACACAGTGTTTGTAATGTACCCTCTCCTCCAGAGCTTTGAACAACTCAAGCATAAGTAAGGGGCACCCTCCAGAATAAGTGAGAAGCAAGTGAGAATGAAGAACGCAAACATTTCCTGGAATTGGACCTGAGGATGGGCCATGATCAACCGCTACCATAACCCCATCACTCACAATACAACCCAACACAGTGGCTCCCTCTCGAATTGCGGTAGTATCATAACATCCCTAAAAGCATAAAAAACAGTAGAGACATCAACAAACACAGGCACAAATAGGATAAACCCGAAAAGAGAAGGAAAAGCACTAACTTCAACATGTGATGCTGGACAGCTACTCTGACCCTTCAATACAAGCAAAGCAAACAAAATCACCAAATAGAAATAAACAGAAATGACTAAATTTTAGTAAAAAAATTCAACAAGGAAATCGAACAGCAAAACGAGACCTGAGGTCTTTTAAACAATCTAAAAGACAGGGCAAAAAAAAAACTAACTGCAGCACGAGGGGGTCCCGAAAAATCCTCATGGCAACGGAAAGGTTTACACGTTGCCATTATAGCTCCATCCTTAAATACTACCTTCAATATGAGTAAAACAAAGAAAATCGTCGATCATAAATAAACAAAAAACGCCACAAGTCCCATTCTTCCGTTCGTCTCCGACCCAATCCTTCCTCGGTTCCTCCTCTCCTCTGCGCTTCCGACACCCAATCTCCAATTGTCGTCGCCGCCTTCATCCTCTTCCTACTTCGCGATTGTCCTCCGACCATCAGCATTCCTTCTCTGTGGCTTTTTTCTCCCCAATTTCCTGGTGGAGGTTAGGTGGTGTTGTTTGAAGTTTCAATGGTTATGTGGTGGCCGTGGTTGAGAGATTAACACTTTTCTAGGTTTTTGGATTCCAAAATCCAATTTTGTAAGCCTGCTTCAACTGATTTCCGCTTCTCCCCCGGCCTTTTTCTTTGGTAATCCTAATCTCATTGGAATCTGCAATTGAGTCATGCGGTTCTGAACCTGATGCGGCTAATCGAAATTACTGAAGACCGATTCCAGCTGGTGAAAATACTACGCCCGTGCGGACGTCGAGAAGGGTACAAATTAAAGCTTTGATCTTGAAAAAAAAATTTCCTAGATGGAGTCGTCAGGAGCAAAATTTTTTGTTTTCGAGGTGAGCACGCGTATTAGATTTTGATTTTGGTCGATAAGTATGGTTTATCTGTTTGGGTTTGGGTTTTTGAATTTCAATTTAATTATACTTTCCTAATCAGCGTTGGTAGCTTTTGGGTTTGGGTTTGCTAAGAAGGTCTTTTATGGCGATGATCAGTCCCCCATGGATTCCCCCATGAAGAAGAGTTTTCATTACAAAGGTTTAAGGATGATTTTGTCAGTTATCGGCATTTGACATTCAAAGGATGTATTTGATATTTTTTCTGAACATGAACATCTCTTAGATTATTGACCAGATGACTAGTAACGTTGATATACTTATCTACATTCAATTCCAATTCTAACTAGTTTTTATTCATTGATTATTATTGCATCATATAAAACTTGTGTAATATCCTAAGGAAGGAAACTTAGATGGAAATTTATTATAAACCAAAAGTGTTCCAATTCCAAGCAAAAACCAAAATGTATACATGAAACAAACCAGTGTATAAATTCAGTAGTCTTCGTCGCAATATTGCATATACATAACCCTAGTATTGGTATCGAAAGAAGAATTTTTCCAACACCAACACCGAGTAACATATTGGCTCTTCAGAGGAAAAAAAAAGAAAAAGATAGCTTCATTTGATGCTAGAATTTTTGCTCAAAAACTAATTCAAAGGCGGCTCTTGTCCTTGGAGCTTTTGTCATCTCTGTCGTTGGTCCGGGAAGTGTATTGACTCGTAGACGACGGAGAATACCCAGGTGCACTTGGTGAATATCCACCAGTTGGACTGCACAAAAACAAATATAAGATTTACACACTTCCAGAGAAGAAACTTGTTACGCGTAAACCCTGATATAATATTCCACTCATACCTGTATTGGCGAGAGCTTGGACTGTAGTCTGGCTCACCGACAGAGTTGTATGGACTGTAAATGGGGTAATGGACAAAGGAAATCAGTTGAAGTCGAGCAAAAAGGACATTTGCAGCGCATAAGACTAAACAATTCCCAAATTTTATAAAATCATATTCAACATTTCATAGTTGTGAAAGAAGTATAATAGGACATCCACTATTTACGAAACCTCCAAAAATTTTAACAACAGCGTAACAAGGAATAGTAAACAACCAGAGGAAAAAAAATTTAACATTTGCAAAATAAAAGGATAATGTTTACGCCTTGTACAAAACATCAAAATGGTTTACTGATACCATAAGATTGTGCACGAGCAACAATTAACATAAAAATTACCTGCTAGGACTGTAAGTCGGACTGGATGGAGAATATGATGGAGACGTTGGAGAATATGACGGGGATGTTGGGCTGCAGAACAAACAAAAGTGGAAAATATGAGAAAAGTGACTGTAGGTTTAAGCTGTCCAGTATACTCTCATTAGTTACCAATTGTAAATTTATTAACACCGACACATAATTATAGAAAATGAATATGCAATTGTCTAAAGAAATATAGGAGTCTACAAAAAAAGAAAGATATTCGCATACCTGTAACTTGGAGAGGAAGGGCTGTATGGACTTGAAGGCGACAGCTTTGGACTAGTTGGAGAATACGCAAGCGAAGGGCTGTACTTAACTGAGGGATTATAACTAGGAGATGTAGGACTGTAGCTTGGCGAGGTTGGGCTATAACTTGGAGAAGTAGGGCTATACCCCGGAGAAGTTGGGCTATAAGCTGGCGATGTGGGACTATACGAGGGAGATGTGGGACTGTATGAGGGTGAAGTGGGACTGTAAGAGGGTGAAGTGGGGCTGTAGGAAGGTGATGTTGGACTGTAGGAAGGTGACGTTGGGCTATAAGATGGTGACGTCGGGCTATATGCAGGTGAGGTTGGGCTGTAAGCAGGGGATGTTGGGCTGTAGCTCGGAGACGTGGGACTGTAACTGGGAGATGTAGGACTATAACTAGGAGATGTAGGGCTGTAACTAGGTGATGAAGGGCTGTAGCTGGGAGAAGTCGGAGAATATGATGGACTGGTAGGAGAATAGGCAGGACTAGTCGGACTATATCCTGGCGAGCTAGGACTATAAGTTGGAGAGGTCGGACTGTAGCCCGGGGATGCAGGACTATAACCAGGGGAGGTGGGACTATAGCCTGGAGAAGTAGGGCTATATCCCGGGGACGATGGACTGTATCCAGGAGAGGATGGACTGAAATTTGAAGATGGGGAAAAGGGCAGTCTACTGGTTATAGGGGAGAACTGCTCAAAACCAGTAGCTGGTGATCTGGCATAATTTGGGCTCATAATCGGAGACATCATATCATGATAAGGAGTTCCAGTGATAGGGGAACGGCCAGGTGTCATGCCTGGGATGCCATCTTCCATATAACTGGGAAGATTGATTTCAATGGCTTGCTTCAACATCTCCTCATTAAGGAGCAAGGCACAGTCTCCTGTACCAATGGGTGCAAGCTGACCCAACATAATGTTTTCTGTGACACCTCTGAGGTAATCTGTCTCTGCATAAACAGCAGCATCGAGAAGTATGTCCACAGTTTCCTCGAATGAGCACCTCATTAAAGGCCCGGTGTCATTGCGATTGATTCCATGGCGAGTAATTGCCATCAAGTGACCACGATATGTCATGGTATCACACAATATTGCAAGATGTCGATAGTTCACATAAGATCCATCAAAGGATATGACAACACGCAGCTCATCCAGCAATGCCTTGCGTACGGCCTCAATTCCAAGAACTTCAATAACTTCGATCAAGTGATTGCTGGTGGTCCTCTTTGCATCAACTTCTTCATGACACATCACAGCCAAAAGATTAACACCTTCAGTATCCAACATCCACTCACTTTCCATCTTAAATCCATCTATCTCATCAAACTTGTTGGTCTTAGTCTGCTTGATGAAAACCTTATTAATATCCGGAATGCCTCGAAGAGCCATTTCCGTAAGCATGTTGCTCTCTATCTTTTTCAGGAAGACATCGTCCTCAGCAGATTCATCATTCAATTCACCTTTAGGAGCTTCATCATTCATGATACGTATGCGAAGTATCAGCTTATCAGCATTATCATCATTGAATATACAAGTGAGATCATCATCAAACTCAAGATTAATCTTCTCTGCAATGTTAGCCATGCTCAACTTCTTATCCACCATCATTTCCCGATTCAGCTCTATGCGGAGCAACCAGGGAGAGATCTTATCAGGATCAATCTCCTCATCAGGCATTTCATAATAAGACTTTACAAAGTCAAAATCTTCCGGAATTATGGTAGTCATCGGATCCGGATCATACCAAACTTCTGTGGCTTGTGTGACACTCCGCAAAGTAGTGTATTCCAAAGCACATTGAACACTTTTTGCTTTCTCCTTCTTTCTGTTGTCAATTTCCTTCTTTCTGGTCTCATCTGCTTTGGGGTCATCCATAAGTCCCGGAATAGGCTTCAAATACACAGAGAGAGAAGGTGTTTTTATTTTCTTTGCAACATTGATAATTTCCCTCAACCTGGGAACGCCAAGGGTGACATTTTTCGCACTCACACCAGCATAATGGAAAGTATTAAGGGTCATCTGGGTAGCAGGCTCACCAATGGATTGAGCTGCAACACAACCAATCATCTCACCGGGAGCAACAAGAGACTGCAAAAAACGTGACTCTATTTCACCAATAACCCACTCAAATGCACCCCGAGTAAGTCTATACTCACTCAAAACCCTTTTACTGGCCAAGGCACTGCGAAGTAATATATTAAAGAAAAGAGTAGCATTCTTTTGAGCTTCCTGACTAAGATAATCTTCACCATGCACAACCTTAAGCCTTTCTTGCAGTTTATCGACAGCTTCAACTACCTCCATTGGGTGCATATCTGAAGCCCTTCGGAAATCAATTTTAAAGGTCTTCTGTGCATTTGATATAAGCCTCTTAATGTTCACAGGCAAAGGCCACGTATCATCACCTGAAGTAGCAATCTCTCTAGCCAGTTGGAGCCTGTCGGCTTCGAGTTTCTGAACTTCAGCATCAAACACACTTCGAATTTCCACAATGTTCTTTAAATCCTCGACATATTCTGCTGATATATAATCCGGATTCCAATCCTTATCATCAAGTTCTAATTTGAACACCTTATCAAAGTCAGACTTCTTGAGTTTCAATGCATCCAGCCTCTGTGATTCAATCCATACAGAATCCATGCCATCTTCCCCATAAAGAAACTGAATCACATCCCCAAGGGAATTCCTCACAGTACCATCATACTTTACCATGATATCCTCCATGGCCTTCACTAATCGCCTTTGGATATAACCAGTCTCAGAAGTTTTGACGGCAGTATCAATAAGACCTTCCCTACCACCCATAGCATGGAAGAAGAACTCTTGTGGGGTCAAGCCACGAAGGTATGAGTTCTCCACAAAACCACGACTTTCTGGTCCAAAATCATCCTTGGTGAAATGAGGCAGCGTCCTGTCAATGAATCCAAAGGGAATTCGCTTACCCTCAACATTCTGCTGCCCCACACAAGCAGTCATTTGAGAGATATTGATAAAACTTCCCTTCGATCCAGCGGTAACCATTGCCTTAAGATTGTTACTTTCTGCTAAACTCTTCTGGGCACTGCTTCCAGCATCATCACGTGCCGTATTCAACACCTACAACAAGCAAACAGAATTATCACTTCAAACTTGCACACTTATTAGAGATCTCATAAAAATATGTTTGGATTAGTTACCTGGTTAACTTTATTTTCAAATGACTCCATCATAGTCCGTCCAGGTTCAGGTTCCAGTTTCTTCTCTTGAGCACTCCTGATGAGTTCTTTCACTTTATTCTTCGCTTCCGAGATAGTTACATTAATTTTTTCCATAGTTGCAGCATCAGCAATAGTATCCCCAATTCCAATACTAAAACCATTCTGCAAAAGCCAGTAATTGACAAGCCACTGTGTATGTCCAAGAAACTTTCGAGCCGCATCAGGACCTACTTCTTCCCTACATGCATTACTAAATGTAAGGCCTTGATAAAGGACAGTCACATGAACGGTCGTAAAATCAATGGGGGTTCATGCATTAGAGTAGTCATATTTGTGCCAAGTCACAACATTAAATCCAGCCATGCTCACGGACACCAGCGAAATTATCAGTCAGATAATACAAATGATTCACGAAGCATTTCATTCTCTGTGTAGGAAAAGAAATATGAAAAACAATATTTGAAAATTGTACCAAATAACATGGATAAGACTTCCAGTAGAAGTTCCAAGGGTCTTCTTGCATAAGGTGCCAGTAAGCAACTCCCCTTTCTCAATACGAATTTGAGTGTCTCCAGGAGTGATGGGCCCTTTCTCATCATCTTGATGCCACGCTGCCTTTCTTTGGAGATTAATTTGTCTTGGTATGATAAGATTAAAAACTTGCTTTCCTGTCCAAAGAGGCCTTGGTTTCAAAATGGCTGGAGCAGGTACCTTCCCATCAAAATCTTCCCACCACATCAAAATGTTCATGAATACATCCTGCACCACAAGACAGTAGACAATTACAGACATTCTGACGAACAGCATAAGGAAAAGAAACACGAGAAAAATAGACCATACTATACCTTCTCAATGAAGGTATCTCTCTTGGTTATTTTACGGCATCCTAGAAGGGTATCCTGCACGATTCCCATAACTGGCCTATTTGACTGAGGTGACACTATACATTTGGGAACCATCATAAGCTCTAGAACTTCTGCTCTCGTTTCAAATGACTGTGGGACGTGCATGTTCATTTCATCTCCATCAAAATCAGCATTGTATGGTGATGTAACAGACAGGTTTAAGCGGAAAGTGGAATATGGCATTATCTTGATCCTATGACCCATTATAGACATTTTATGCAAACTAGGTTGCCTATTGAAGAGCACGAAATCTCCGTCGTTTAAGTGCCGCTCCACCTGCGATAAGAAAAAGAGGTTAGAGGCCATAGAAAGAATTCCAATTAAAAACAAAAGCCGGCCACCCCCACCTTATATCCGAGTTCCAGATGTTGATCACTGGTTTTTTTCAGATATCGAAGATCAAGCCTCTGTCCATCATCCCTAATGATATACTTGGCACCAGTTTTCCCTGGTGGCGGATGTGGGCCATACTCAACGAGTTCCTTCAGCCTGAACCATATTTCAGGTGAGTATATAAAATCCAAAATCACAGCAAAATTGGGGGAAAAAATTAGGATCAGACCTTTCAATGTTGTATGGAGTAACCGTTTCTGGATATGTTAGGTTCAGTGCAATGCTCCAAGGTACACCCAGTTGATCAATGTTGATGGTTGGATCAGGCGTAATGACAGTCCGAGCAGAGAAGTCAACACGTTTTCCCATCAGATTACCTCTAATACGACCTTCCTTTGCTTTTAATCTGCTACATATTGATTTAATGGGTCTACCAGATCTTTGAGTGGCCTGGAAAGAAAATAACTCCCCGAATAAAAAACAACTCAGAAGAAATCACTTCTAGAAAACATAAAACTTAAGACATACTCTTGGTTGTCCAGGCAGTTCATTGTCAAAGTATGTGGCTATATGGAATTGCAACAACTGAGCAAACTCTGAGATAATGTGAGCAGGAGCTCCATTTCTCTCTTGCCTCTTCAGATTTTCATTATGCCTGATAATCATAGCAAGTTGATGTGTCAGGTCATCCTGCATCAAGAGACGAAGAAAGTTGATTACTCTCCGATATTCCAAGATTCTGTACCCGTCCTCACGCTTGGTGCAAAAAGCATGCAAGTAAATCCAAAATTTTAGTTTTATACAGAAAGCGGCTTGCCTCACTCCTTGAAGAAGTGTCCATCATCACAGAAGGTCTAACTGGAGGAGGAGGTATTGGAAGAACTTGAAGAATCATCCAGTCTGGGCGGGCATATTTTGGATTGAAGCCTAATGTTTCACAGTCATCATCACTTATTCTCTTCAGAACACTAAGAACCTGTAAACAGATATACATAACTCCAATTCAGATACCACCAAATGCGAAATGGTAAAATAACTTCTAGCCTAATGACAAGGCAGGAGGTGGAATCTGATGTCAAATGGCAACTGGGCTGTGAAATATACGACCTTTTCGGCAGAAAGTTGCTGTTTTCGCTCCACAGGTTCGGGCAACTGCTCTTGATCATCACTTTTCTTCTTTTGAGCCTTGTATTCAGCCACCATTTTCATACCATCAATAGAAATTTTTGGTTGCTGAGCACCGCAACCACCCCTTGACTTCTTCACTGGTTCATCAGAATCTTGACCTTGAGCATCAATTTCATCCCCTCCTTCGCACTTACTTTTGTTTTTGCAGGCATCCAAGATCTTCTTGAGTCTATTCTTAGGATTCCTAATTCTCATAGCCTGTTTAAACTTAGGATCATCCTGCAGTTACAGATGAGAAACACAGCTCATTAATTCGATACCAAACGCTTACTGTTCCAATAAGGGTAACAAGCATGAACAATAGTGACAGACTGCAAGTCGACAAACATGCACAACGCATATGCAGATTCTGGGCAACTTATAGCAGAAGTACTCGGACTCCATAGACTCATGCCACATCCATCATGAGGAACAAATGCTTAAATGTTCTTCTTAAAAGGACAGATAGGCGTGGAGCATATTTGTAGTGTGGGAAACAGCACAAGGGGTGTACATAGCAGTACTTTATCAAAGGAAGGACAATATGTTAGAAAAGGATGGACATCAGAGAGCTCAAATTTTGTTTGCTTCTTAAGTTGTAAGAACAGAGACTATAACGTAAGACATATTCTGCTCAAAAAGGAAAATGCATGCCGGTTTAGCAGTGTTCAAGTTGACATACAAGAATCTTTGCTAAGAGAAACTAACCATGAAAAAGAATACACTGCCAGGCAGAAAAAGATGCAAAAGTTACTACTGCGCACTAGGCAATAGACACCATGACAGCATGAGAACGGAACTAGACATAAAACACTATCTACAGCTACTCAGTTGGTCCTGATAATATCCAAGCAAAACCTCCTCACCCATCATGTCTCCTCACTAGAACCCTTAGATTCTCTTACTTTTTGAGCCACAAATAATCAAACATGAGCAATTCAAAGATTAAGGTAAATTAATGTCTAATCCTCTTGCTAAAAGATACCTCATCAGCTAATATTTTGGAGCAGTTGAAGCAAACGCAACGCATAATACTGAGCACAGTCTTGATGAAACCAATATGGAACATAGGCTTTGCCAGTTCAAGATGGCCAAAATGCCCAGGGCATTCTGCCATATTAGCGGTACATGTCTCACACTTTATCTTCCGATCGATCGTCCCTAGTCTCGGATCACTAAGACCGCCTGGTTTCGGCTTTCCCCTTTCCGTGGTCTCACTATGCTCTATGTGTATCACTGACATTTGCCGCTGCAAGTAACGTTTTTCCCAATTATCAGTATTGTTGATTCAAACAAAATTTCGAAGAACATAAAAGAAAGCTCCGATATCCAAACCGCTATAGCACAATCCAAAGAGAAGGAAATTTAATAAAAAGAGTTTCAGAAGAATTACGATTTCATCGGGACTGAGGATGCCGAACTGGACCACCCGGACTTTAGCGACCTCCGCCGGCGAGTACGGGAATCGTATATCCATGGTGAAGCAATTCTAGGGTTTCCTCCGACAACAGTACAAAATCGTTCTTCCGGGAAAATTGAAATGGGCGGTTTGCTTAAATTTTTGAATAAGTTCTGTGAGTAGTGTTAAATTTTGGTCGTTTTGGAAGTCAATTCAGGTTCGGTATTTTAGATCTAAATTCCCGTGGCGCCTCTCTTCTCTCAGGGGAGGAAGGCGACTCCAAAGAAACTCTGTAAAGGTGGGCTTAGATGGGTATTTATAGGAGAAGGCAGCCCTTAACCGACACTGGTCACCGCTAAAATGCGCCATGGTGCGCTTTCTTTTTATTCGTCCAGGGTAAAAATGAAATAAACAACAGGCCCATCTCCCCACGATTTACTTTATTTTTTCAAGAGAAAATATATTAAAAAGGGTTGAACCAAGCACGGGGGAAGATTATGGACAGAAATTCCTTTGTGGCTTCTTTTTTTTTTTTTTTTGAAGCATTAATGTAAAAAATAAATTAGCACGAATTTTGGCTAAATTATTGTTATTGAGAGAAGCAGTAATATGAACGTAAAAATAAAATGATGTATTCCAATTCCAAATGTTTTTGTAGTAAAAGTGATGCATGTGAAATTTTCGTCAAAATACAATGGGGGGTGTAAAAATTTTAACAAATAACTCTGTCTCCTTCTTCAAAAAAAAAAAAACACACACACACACACACACTCTGTCACATCCTATAAAACCTGATAAAATTAATTTAAAGATAATACTTTAAACATAAAAATACAAAACAAAGTCCTTATTTCATGTTTACTCCCTCTTGAAGATAAAAATAACAATTTTGTCAATTTGATTTTGTATATCAGTTGTGTTATTGTGTTTGTGCTATCCATCTTTATCTTGATTCTTTAGGGAGTATTTAGTTGATGGTCTTAGAAAGGGGAATGAAATATTGGTGTTTGGTTAATTGGTTTAAAATTGGCATAAACGCATTGATATCTATATTATTTATGAATATTCTACACCCACCAAGAATATTGGATTTTGTTCTGATCATTGGGTTTACAATGTTGTTTTCTTCACCTCTTTGTTTTCTCATTGTACTATATTGTACATAATTTTATCATGTATACTATAAAAAAACTTAATTATAAAACTCTAGTTTTATTTTGAAATTTTTAGTCAAATTTAAATTACTAATATCATTGAATGAGAATTTGAATTATTTTAACTTATGATTTGCATTTTTCATATTCAACTCCAAAATTTGTTGATTGTATTAAATTTGGTTATAAAATAAGAGCTACTCGAACTCAATCAAACTGATTAAGTATTTTTAAATATATATATATACAATTTAAAAAATTCAAATTGATATAATAAAAAATAGTTATTAAGTTTTTAAAAATCATTATTAATTTTTTGTACAAGTGATTCAATAAATAAAATACAGAAAGACTAAAATGATACTTAGACCTAATTTATAAACTACAAAATTATTTGTTTTCGTACCTAATTATATAGTGGATGAACTAACCAAACGCTTGTAGCCATCTGTAACTTACTTCTAACGTTAACTTACAATGTATGTATGTATATTGTTTTTCGTAAAATATGTACAAATGCACTATTTTATGCCTAGTGAAGAGTATGAATTAAATTTCTTTGATCTCTTGTCAAATAACTCATTAAGAGTGTCTTTTTTTTTGTACTCGTTCAGCCCACAATAAATAATAGTTCACATCATAATTCTTTATTTCTACTATTTTATTATAAACATAAATTAGAATCTGGACTATTTTGTTGAGATGGAGGAAGTACTATTCCATCAAAAAGTAATTGTTCAGTTGAGATTTTCATTTTTAGTACAATTTGTAGTAAAATCAAAATTTCAAATTTGACAAATATTTTGGACAGGGAAAGTACGTTAAATAAAATAATCATTTTAGGATGAGAAACAATGAGCATGATGAGATTTTTTAGACGGAAGTATTACATGTAAGTTTATATAGATATATATATATATGTATATACATATATATAATATCAAAAGTTAATCATCCTTATAATTTAGACATGTACATATATGTATATCTGTATTGTTAAAACTTAATCATCCTTATAATCTAGACATGTACATAGAAAAAAGAAACATTAAAATCGTAATAATAATATCAAAAGTTTAAAGAGATTAATTATATTTAACTCCAGTAAATAGGTTGTAATAGTATTTTTATTTAATTGGGAGTGTGATGGATTAATAGGTTGTAATGGTTTTTTGGAGACTTATATTTGGAAAAAGTTAGTATATCCCATTTAAATCTGGATAAGGTAATATATAGAGAATAACTTGTTAATTAAATACGAGTAGAAGACTAGAAAGTCCAAGTCCAATTGTGTAGCTATAGCAAACTCCAGGGGTACGGATTACAATTAATCGTTTCTTCTCTCAGGAAAGAATGAAACTTTGCTCGTATGCTGCCGCGTCTCGCCGGCAAGTTTCGGTGTCTTCTAGATTATATTGAACTTTCCACGCTCCAACGTTTCCGAATTCATTAAATGCTCCAGACCTCCGACAATATATATATATATATATATAAATATTTCACCATCCAAGTTCACCTATCCGATCACCAGAACTCATTAATCAGAAAAAAAATGGCATCAATCTACAGCTGCAAAGAATGTGGAGCCGATCTGAACCTCCACACGATCCATCTTTTCCCGCCGGACTATTACTTCGAAGCAGGCAACAAAGGCTCTCTTTCCTTCGCCATGATTGATTCTTCCAAATTCAATTTTCAGAAAGAAAACAAGTTTGTCCCTTTTTTTGAGACGGTCAATTACTGGGGTATACACCGGAATCGGACCAAGCTTAAGTGCAAAAGCTGCGGTTTCCGGGTCGGTTATGTGTACGATGATGGGCCACCGATGACTGATCATCCGGGTCAATTCCATATGGGGCCTAGTCAAGTTATTCCCAGAGCTCCGAGGTATAGATTCAAGACCAAGGCGTTAAAGATCACTTCGGAAACTTGACAAAGACTGGTTATTTTTCTTTTGGTTCATGTGATTTTATCATTTTTGTATTGCTTAGCTTCTTTACCGTCGGTTTTGATACTTAGAACTAGAAAGGTTGGATCTTTCTGCACGGTGTAAATTATTGTGTAAAATACAGTGTTTATACATAAAGATTGCCTTTTGGCTTTTGGTCTGTGTTATTGTTTTCTGAATTTGATGCCATTGTGTTTGCTGGACGTGTTTCATTTTCCTTAGAATCTAACCTGAATTTTGTGGAAACGAATGAGTGATTTTGGTCGAGAGGGATCCTGGGTCCTCTCTCCCTATAACTCCTGTTTTTGTGGGACAGCTTATAATCAAGTTCTTTCGTTTTCCCTTTTGTTTATTTCTTTCCTTTGTTTTAGGCCTTTAGGGAGAGAGGACTTGAACTTGTTTGTAGCTACATTAGTACTCACCCTTCTCTTATTGTGTGGACTGGTAGAGTTTCACTGTTGACCCTACTAGTCGGATTGTTTGCTAGTTGTGCTGACTTCTGAATGATAGTTGGAAAAGAGGAGATTAGTTGTTTTTTTCTTGCCATCTTGACAGTTAGGTTGTAAGCTGTACGATAGCTCAAAATATATGATTGAATGTATATATTTCCGGTTCCATGAAGGCACTTGGTGAGCTTAGTATGTGATAAGGGAACAATAAAACTTCAGTGAAAACTTCTTGCTGAGCAGAAGAGATATATGAAAGAGGACAGTATGCAGAGTAAAACTGAAACCTCCAAGCTAAAAAAGGGTTCTATTCCACCCCCACCTCCTCCTTTGCCACCATTTCCAAAGAAATCAGCGAAACCAGTTCTCGAGCAACCAAGTAATGCAAGTGTGACCGTGCAAGAGATTGCTGGATACTGGAGGCAAAAGCACAAGGTCGAGGAGGATCACTTGTTGGCTGCTATCAGAGCTGCAGCACGTATCAGGGCGCGCATTCTTTGGGTATGTTTTGATTGTGAATTCCTGTCATAAGCATAGAACTAAATTGCTGTGCCAAGACTTATGTTCATGAATGACTATTGTTTGCCAATTGGAAACTGGTTGAAAACCACTAAATCTTATTTCCTCCATCCAAGTTCGCCCTAGGTTAATAGATGGTGCTTTATTCCACGAGGTTGGCTAAAATTTGTGCCTGCTGAATTCATTGTATATATGATCTTGCCAATAAATGGGAGCAACCTTCGCAGTAGATTATGCAGCAGGCTCTGTTCGCTCGAACCACGGTGTTTACAACCAAAGAGCCAAGGCTAATGTAATTGAATTGTATGCCCACCTTTTTGGCTAATATCTGACAATCGAGTGATTTGCAGCCCCATCCTGTAAAGAGTAGTTTCATTGGGAATGTTTGTCTTTACTTGTGTGCACTCTTAACTCAGGCTAATGTGTTTTCCATCTGGTTTGCAGGAGAATGATTACCTTCAACTTGAGGAGTCTTCGAAAGATGATGATGATCATACAGAGAATGATAAGGGTGCCAAGGTCTCTAACCAAAAGGATCAGAACGCTGAAGAAATACGAGTTGGAATAAAGGATTGGTAAGCTGAAACAAAAATCTATAATTGTTAGCAAACATACATTCAGAAATTGCAAATCCATTATTGTTTTCAGCTTATTGTTTGATTGCTATCTGTTTAACATATAAGGGATTGAAGGTGGCTAGTTCTGCAAAAGCTTACATTTATTTCATCTTTTTAAGTCGGGAAACAAGGCCAGAACTTTGGATGTCATAGAGTTTAGTAGAGTCTGAATTAATATGAACGGCAATAATAAGGTTTTCTGTTAAATTTAATGCTGCAGGTGGACAAAGAGCAAATATGCTTATTTGAACCAACCAGCTGTGAAGTCCATGGATAAACCATCAAGGAGAGCATCCAGTTATAAGCCCCAGTTTCACTGCTACAAAACTACTGTCCCTGCAGCTACTACCACCACATTTGGAATCTTTTAAGCAAATTCAGATTGCGAATTTTCTGCCTAAGTGGATCAGAGTATGAGCACTATTATTCCAAATGTGATTCAGTCAAAATTTGTATCTGAAAGTTAATAATTATGGAGATCATACTGTAAGAAATGGATGTCGTAGTTTTTTGGGAATTTACTTTGAACCTCCCTCTTACACCTCAAGTTTAACTCCATAATCCGCACTTACAGCTAATTAGCTAAAGGGCCGGCCTAGAGTTGTTTCCTGAATTATTTGCTATTGGGCCTTTGTATAGAGCTCGCTAGCATCGACATCTTTGTCTATTAGTTCTGATTTTGAACACCCAACGCTTGCTGTGTACAAACAAATACGTAGAAAAACACATCCTAAATGATGAACGCCAAATCAAATGAAGATTCCGCGTTATTATTCCGTCGTCTGCATTTTCTAGACACGGCAGGCGTTGAATTGGGACAATTTGGGTGGTATTTCTTCAGTTTTGCTGGTTTATTATCAAAGCGGTATTGGTAGTAAAGAATAATTTGATTTTGCTTTATTATATTAGCTGGTTTGGTATTCAAGTTTACCCTACATCTTCACATGTCACTTTACCAACTTTCCTCAGCCTTATCTATACGTTTGGATTTAAATCATTTTCCTATACATTTTTTTCCCTTATTTTATTGGCTATATTTATTTTTTCCCTCACGAGAATATGATTAAAAGTATACAATATTTATTATTGGTCAAATTATCTGTCTGTCCTGCAGGTATGTTCATGGAAGGATCCAGTGCATTACAACTACAAACCAGACAGGGTTGACTTCTTATTTGAAATATTAACTATTAATCGCGACCAAATGTAATAATTTCTAAGCCCTATGAACTAATAACATTTCTGGTTATCATGACTTCTACTCAATAACAACTTTTTTTGACTATAGACTTATCTATTTCTGGGTTAATTGCCGGTCCATTTATAGTAATTTCAAAAATTATTAAAGTAAAACTGAATTACGTTAACACCCAATGAATTTCAGCCAAGATCCAACTACAATTTTCGGGTCAGTTTGCATTTTGCACCACCTATTAACTTGAAAGCCATTTTTTTTTAGTATATGTTGAATCACGTTAACACCCAATTAATTATTAAATGAAAATGACAAAATGGCAGCTTGCCTAACCAACCTTTTTCCCATTGGTTTTGTGTTTTAGTAATTCAATTTTGAAAAGATGTCCCAAGTTACCATTTTTTATTTTATTTTTTAATTTTTTTTTAAAAAAATTAAAGCTAGACACACAATAAAACAAAATGTACTATTTTCATTTCTCAAAATTTTCATTTTAGACGTAGGAGTATTTGGTAAGTGGTTCAAAAACTGACACTGGGTTGAACTTCTGCATTTTTATCAGCCACCATTAATTTAATTTAATTTAATTAATTAATTACTAAATATATTCCCTTCTTCCCCATTGCTGAGAGTATAGCGGTAGCTCCAATTAAAAACTTAATTAATATTTCTTCTGATAGCCTAACTTCCCTCTTAATTTTCAACTCACTCCGTACCAATCCAGATTGCAAATTTGAAAGAAGAAAATAGAAAGATTGAAATTGAATAACCGTGTGAATTAAAGAAGAAGCTTGACGGAGGTAACTGAAACGGCGATCACGGAATGGCGGTGAAGGGGCGGTACTACAGAGGTCCGTCGCGGAAAGCGGCGTCGTATTCCACGGTCATTTTCGCCGCGCTGATTGGGTTTACGTTGTTGCTTCTCGTTCTGTTGGCCCTCGGTTTATTATCCATCCCCAGCAGCTCCAGAGGTGATACTAATAAAGCCCAAGATCTCACTACTATCGCCCGGGCAACTATTGAAAGGTATATATCCCATTGGATTCAAGTTCTCGATTCGTGATTTCCTGATCTGAATTTGACTTAGTTGGTGTGTGTGTTTTAATTTTTATTTTTATTTTTTTTTTTGGTTTTTTCCCCTTTTGGTTCTGCAGAGGTCATGATGACAATGATGGCAGAGGTGATCAGTGGGTTGAAGTCATATCTTGGGAGCCCAGAGCTTCTATTTACCATAATTTCTTGGTAATTTTCTGTTTGATTTAATTTATTCAATCTGCATCCTCTGCATTGGCTGCTTCTGCGGGGTTAATAAATGTGGCTGTATGCATGCATCTATGTAAATATTGTGTTGCTCTGTATGGTTGGAGAACTTAGAGTTTTTGGCCGTGAAAGTTCTTTTCTTTATAAATTCAACAAAGTAGATCAAGACGTGATTTATTTGTTGCAAATGAATGTGTTTGATTGGATTCCTGGGAGACTTGTGTTGCCAATTTTAGGGATTAATTTTCAAAGTTTGAGATCACTTGTAAGCGTACAAATTGAGTTCTCAATTCTCATTGGTTCTTCTTCTGTAGTCTGACGAAGAATGTGAGTACCTGATTGAACTTGCGAAGCCAAGTATGCATAAGTCAACTGTTGTGGATAGTGCTACTGGCAAAAGTAAAGATAGCAGGTTAATTTTCCTGATTATTTTTCCTTGCTGGGTATGTTTAAAACCCGAAGTTCTTGCTTGTAAATCATTTTCTTGATAGAAATTTATTTTATACTCCGACATGCAGAGTTCGTACAAGCTCTGGAACATTTCTCCCTAGAGGACGTGATAAAACAATCAGGGCTATTGAGAAAAGAATTGCTGATTTCACTTTTATACCAGTAGGTATGTGTTATGTTGGAAACCCACTATCGTTTTAGGTAACATAAAATTTTAAGCTACTTTGGCATTTCGTGTATGGTCATTGTTTTCATATTTGGAATCAGTATTGATTAAGATATGCTGATTAGCAAAGAGAATATCTTTGACTGTGTGATTGATCTTATCACTGTCTTTGCTGCCTGCCAATATTTGAACTGCTGCCGAAAGCCATACGGGTATTTGAGAGATGTAGATGATTACATCTGTTTTGTTTGTTAATCATGTTCAGCATCTCTTCAAGATTTTATCTGTTGATCCTGGGTTATTTTATGTGCAAGTCCCGTTTTTGGGCACTTTAATGAGTCCGTTTTGCTATCTACAGAGCATGGGGAAGGACTCCAAGTTCTCCACTATGAGGTGGGTCAGAAGTACGAGCCTCACTACGATTACTTTCTTGATGAATTCAACACCAAGAATGGTGGACAGCGCATAGCTACAGTTCTTATGTATTTGTAAGAAAGCATCCCTCTGAGATTTTTTTCTATGCCTTCTTCTTCTTCTTCTTCTTCTTTTCTCCTTGGAGTCTGATGTCATATTTGTTACACATTTATGCAGGTCAGATGTTGAAGAGGGAGGAGAAACAGTTTTTCCTGCAGCCAATGGTAATATTAGTGCTGTTCCTTGGTGGAATGAGCTCTCTGAATGTGGAAAGGGAGGACTCTCTGTGAAACCAAAGAAGGGTGATGCTTTGCTGTTTTGGAGCATGAAACCCGATGCCAGTCTTGATCCTACTAGTTTGCATGGTTAGTATTGTTATTTTTGAACCGCATTTTATATATGTATGAAGTAGATGTGAAGACCTGTTGTCACTTTTTCTGCCACTTAATTCCCTTCTTATGACCAGTGTCAATATCTTTTAGTGTCAAAATTTTTTTGAGTTGAAGTTATTGCCGTCTATTTCTCCAGGTGGTTGCCCCGTTATCAAAGGGAACAAGTGGTCATCAACGAAATGGATGCGTGTCCATGAGTACAAGGTGTAATATACCATGCAAGAGGTATAATACATGTTGTCTTCCGCATTCAGTTGTTCATCATTTTCAGTGTTATTGTTAATATCTCCTTTTCACTTAGGCATGGTTCTATACTGCATCTTTGTGAACTTATATAGCTAGGTTGATAATATCTGTATGGTTCATTATGTAATTTTTGGATCCGGTCAGCTTTAATTTCTTCAGTTAAATAGACGGCAATATTTCCACTGAATGATCTCTCCTTATGTTCAATTTTTTCCTGTTCTGCATTTCAAGTGATGGTTGCCATAAAGTCATAGGGAGTAGTTCATAGATACTGGCTATTGAATTATGAAAACAAACATTGGATGGATTGTCATTACACGAACTTAGGTGCATGTGATTTATGAAATGTTAATTACAAGTTCATGCGATTTATGAAATGTTAAATTACAAGAACTACTTTCTCCTGTCGCTTACTAACCAAATATTACTGCTTTAAATAGGTGTATCTTGTTTAGGAGATCCAGAAGGAGTTTGTATGACCTGTAACAAATGCGGCTGGTAGTTTGACTAGGTGTCTGCTTTGGCGCAAAGACTTATGTATTTGCCATAGCGGAGTCGTATACTATAGTGATCAATCTTCCATGTAGAAACTTGTTTTCCTTTACCTTTTACCCTCTATACATCTTTGATATAAGCTGTAAGAATAAGATAACGGAATCCTCGGCACTTCTAATCAATCGGATATCCTAGGTAGTCACTGAGAAAAGTTACAGATGCTGAAATGAAAAGTTTCTCAATTATAGTGAAATTGATTTGCTCAATCTCACACCTTGTATTCTTTTGAATTGCTTATTGCTTCCGTCTTCAAGTTTTTCTTCTGGAGCATTTTCCTTTGCTTTATGATAAAGATAACTGGAGCAGCAAAGTGTTATCCAAATACTATCTCTGTGTTAAAAAAAACAGTTTACATTAGGTTTTTAAATTTGTACTGTTTTTAGTATAAATCTAAGATCTCAATATGAATTTTAGTATTTTTTCAGAGTAGTTATTTCCAGCCACTCCACCGTTTCCCCACTTTCATTAAGGTTAGAATTTGTAGCTTTGCTAAATCGTGATGTTGGTAGCGGGCCAAAATTAAAACTAACAAGGTGGGCTGATGGCCGCTGATGAGAAATAATATGCAATTTGTCATGAACCAGGACCTAATTGTCCTAGTTCTTTAGTATAGGGAATTGTTAGTAATTTCTGTAACTTCGGGGGTTATAAAGCCTTGTGAGTTGTAATCAGAATTATGAAAAATATTGTATTGAATTGATTTTAGACTCTGTTTGGTTGGATTGAATTGGACCCTAGAAGGGGCATTCAATTCCAATCTTGTGCTTGGCACATAAAAATAAAAGTGGAAAAATTAGAATTATAATTCAAGACGAGATTCAATTCTTTATTTTCAATTCTTTTGGGAGAGCAAATAATTGTAATTCGAATCTCATGGACTTCTTTTCAAAAAAAATTTTAGCGGGTCAACGAACGGGTCTTTTCGGGTTATAAGAAAATGGGTTGCTCCTTCCCTTTTGATGTGTGTGTGTGTTATTTTTATTTATTTTTATTTTATTTTTTTCCCTTCCTTTAGGGCCCAGCCCAGCACAAATTTTAGTTTTCTTTTTCCCATAATTTAAGCCCAACGATTTTTTTCTTTTCGTTCTTCACCGCATTCCTGGTTTTTTTTTTATTTGATAAATATAGTATCTATCAATTTGATAGTTATCAAGAGGCTTTTTATCTATCAAAATATAAAACTAGACCTAGACTTTATTGAACAAAATTAATAGGTGATTGTATTAGTTTGCATTAATTGTTTTTTAGGAAAATGATTTGTATAATGAAAGTGACTAATGGTATGTAAAATTATATTTTTATCTTTAATTAATAAGTACAAATGTTTATTGAGAGTTTTGTATCTGTCTTTTTATAAGTCACTATTCTATTTAGCTATAAATTCTCGTTATCCTATCATTGTTTGTTCTTTTAATTAATTATGTGATGGCACTGTAAATATGTAAAATTTTCATGAAATTTGTTTAAAGAAATCATTCCACAAGTGCAAGTATGTTATATTTGTATAAATTTTGAACTATACATGACTTTTTTTTTTTTACTACAAGTTATGTAAGTTTTCATTAATTTTAGCTATATATTTTCATCTATAATTATATACTAAAATATATATAATGTTATGCATATTTAAATTAATTTCAATCCATATATCAATGAATACATTAACATAAACTGACTTTATATTGAATACAATATTTACTAACGCAAAATACAAAAAATTCAAAAAAAAGGAATATTAAAAAATAAAAAAAATAAAAGAGGAAAACAATGGATTACTACTTTTTACTTGTTTTAATATTAATAATTGTTACATAATTATTTTTTTCCATACCTGTTTATACACAATAAATTAAAATTTTAATATAATACATTAAATAAAAAACTGTATTTTCTTAAGAAAAATAAGTAAAAGTTGTATGAATAGATAACACATAAGTAAAAGTCATTCCAATATATATGCACATGATAATTTTATTTTATTATATATATATATGTGATAAATTAGTTTGGTATAAGAAATTAAGTAATGTTTTTTTTATTTTTTTCGAATTGAAGTATAAATTATATATAATAATTAGATTATAACAAACTAATTCTAATTCTAGTGAATATAAATTTTAACGGATCCAAACACAAGAATTGGTATTAAAACAATAATTCTTAGTAATTCTTAAGATCTCCCAAACAAAGAAATTAAGATTGAGTTACAATTTCAATATTACATTTTCAATTCATATAATTGTAATCCCAATTCAATTCCAATTCAATCTAACCAAACGGAGCCTTAGTGAATTTGTGGAGTTTTTCCCAATTCCTTCCCTAGTTGTTGAACCCTAATCTCCATTTCCGCCTTTGATTTATTGGAATCCACCCTCCGTCAGTGTCCCCGGTGACCCGGATCTGACAGAATTACCATGCACTTAAAATTGGGCTGGAGTCGAAGGTCTTTCCCATTTTATTTAGACTCTTTCTGTATTGTTCCAGAAATTGATACTAGTACATTTTTTTTTAAATGACAGCGAATACAAATAAATCTCGTGACTGGGTTATATACTTAAAATGCACCCGAAATGTTTTATGTAAATGTTGTTTAACGCTCATTTGGATCACTTATAACTCATATTCCAAACTATGAGAAAGAGTGTGGTGTCGTGATAGAATATTTTAGTTAATTATTTGAATATTGAATCATGAATTTCTGTTAATATGGAAATTATTGTAACATTTTCATCATTGAACGTGAAGTAGAAGCTGCTATAGATTCCTTTTTTTGTTTCCCTCAAACTATATATACAATTTCACTTTTAAAATTAAAATGGCTGTGTACCGAATAACAATATGCTTTAATTATTTGGACTCAGTAGAAAACCCACTTAGCTGAATGAAAACGTTTTCTTTTTGTACTTTTTTTTAAAAGATAAAACTTCATTACGGTTCCTGGAAATAGCCAGCTCTGATTGATACAAACTATCCAATAACGACTGACAGGAGAAAAACACTTACTAAACTAGTCACTGTACCAGTAACTAAGCTATTACAACTGGAAGTACAAAATGAACTTCTCACCACCCAGTTGATACTGCCGGAAGGAAAGACCTTCCAATGGCACAAATCTATTGTTGGACATAGAACGGAACAGATTAAAAATCTTAACTCGAATATGTCACTAATCATCGGGTTAAAGCTCGAATTGGTAAATCTAGATAACAAATTCACTGTGACTGTAATTTCTCAGGTCAAACTAGTCATCGTTAAAGACAAATAACAGACAACTAAGTCGAATAACGGACCCGGCTCCATTGACGCACTAAATTCACTCAATAGAGAATCAAACCAGGATCGATACTGAGGGTGGGAAGTCCCACTTATTTGAACTAAACAACAGCAAACCAGTAAACCAACGAACCAGTACCCGGTTCAGTGCAACAAGGAACCGAACCACTGAACGGTCTGACGAACCAGCAAGCACCCAACAAAACAACAAACCGGTCCAACGAACCACCAAGTACCGGCCGATGAAGGAGCAGAACCCGCTGCCAGAGATGCCGGAGAAGCACCCCATCAAGAAGCAACCGCATAAGGAGCGAAACCCGCTGCCGGAGTTGACAGATCTGAACCCAACCAAGAAGCACCAGAAGGATCCGAGCGACGAGCTTTATGGGTCAACAAAGCTTAGATCTGGCCTGCGAGCGATGAGCAACGAGCGGTAGGTTCAAATTAGAGATGGGAAAGGGCCAGTGGAGGTGGAGGGCTTGGCGGAGGTGGTTCGACGAGCTTTGTGGGTCAACAAACCGGTCCGACGAACCACCAAATACCGGCCGGTGGGGAGAGCAAAATTTTCTAGAGAGAGAAAGCAGTTAACTATTTAAAAAATCCTAATCAAATTTTCTTTTTGAACTTATTTCAGATCAATGAAGTGTCAATGTTCTCAAAACAAATATTATATTGGTAAATCGAACAAAAAACAAAGAAAATAATTACAAACAAATAAAATAAAATAAAAAATTATAAATGTTCCCAATACAGGACGCAACAAATGCAAAGGAACGCGATTCTACACAACATAATCCTTCAGGCCTTCCTAATTCTAGAGAAAGGCCAACTAAGAAACATTTTGAATGCCCAAACCCAAAGCACATTTTTCTTTTTTTCTTTTTTTTTCTTCCCTCACTTAATCCTTGAAAATGTACATATGGTACTTCTCCTTTTCTATCTAATAAGAGCCGAAATTTGAAGGTTTTGACAGAAGTCTTAAAAATACAAATAATGATGATGAAGACAGAAACAAAAGATGTTTATGAGAGAAACTGAATTATACTTTTTTTTTCTGTAATCCACCACACTTTTTTCAGTACAACCCTAACCTTTATTTATATCCTATTACAAAGTATTGGAATTTGAAGATTCTT